CCGACCTCAATCGCCATCCGGCCTCAGCCATGCGGCCTCGTCCCCCAGCAGGGCATCCCAACCATCGTCGCCACTACTAGTCTCGTTCGTCGCAGGCCAAGGCAGTGAAGGCCGGCGTAAGGCCTCCAGCAACTCTTCGAGCCTTTCACAGCAATCGAGTGTATCTCATCAGCCTACGTCCCTTGACATTCCCCGAGTACCACCGAGCCTGCAGAAAGCGGCGACAAGCGCAGCTGCTTCCCCAGTCAAGGGCCGTGGGGCCGCACCACCTCCGCTAGCTCTTTCGCCGCAGAAGATCGTGTCAACGCCCAGACAGGCCTCGAGTAGCCGGTCGAGATCTTTGACTGTTGGCTCGCAGTCCCAAGAAGGTAGCCCAATTACCTCCGATGTTCTGTCGCACCACCGCAATCGTCGCAGCCAGGTCTTCGACATGTCGCCTTCATCGTCCGACAACGAAGGCGAAAAGCATAATGCTCTTCTCCGAGTGCAGCGTCGCCGCCAGAGTTCCCGTCGCCTTTCCCAAATTGCTTTTGACGGGGGTCCGATGTTCCGCCCACTGGATGTCTTAATCTGTGAGGATCATCCAGTCTCCCGCATGGTCATGGAAAAGCTCCTAGAGAAACTGCGCTGCCGTACCATTTCGGTATCGAATGGATCAGAAGCTGTCAGATACGCCATGAGCGAGATCAAGTTTGACATCATCTTCCTGGAGTATAGATTGCCTCAGATCAATGGCGCTGATGTGGCCCGCATGATTCGGGAGACTAAGAATACGAACTCGCATACGCCCATCGTCGCCATTACAGCATACCTCAAAGAGCTGCAGGCTCCGCATTACTTCGATTCACTGATCGAGAAACCCATCTCGAGTTCTAAGCTTACCGAAGTTCTCAAGAATCTTTGTCAGTGGAAGCCGGAATCGCCTGGTGTCAACTTCTCGATGTCTCTTGGACACTCTCACCCTGTGCCCTCTAGCCTCCGTCAAACCAGCTCTCGAGCAGACGACAGCCCGACGTCAAGTTCGTCGCTGTACGCTGGACGGCCAGGTAGTAGCCTGATTACTTCACGTGAGGACTCCATCAGCTCTAGTCTCTTCGGCGACTCCGAGTCGGTTTCAACGGATGATGTGCCAGTAGTGATCAGCAGGAAGGCTACTGGCGACTGGGACGAAGGTGGCCTGGGTATTAGCCAGGATGAAGTTATTCACCCGATCAAATCACCAAAGTCGTTGCCACAGCTCCCACAGCTGGTGACGCAACAGTCTGCTCCGGGTCAGCTGGAGCACACTCGACGATCCGCACCGCCGCCTTCGGTGGAGAAGCTGAAAGCCCGGAAAGAGCACATGGAGAAGCGCCTTGCAGAGGGTACAGATTCGGCCGACGATGAGGACGAAGAGCTTGGCTCCGGACGAGAGAAGCTATTCCGAGGCAAAGCGTTACTGCCGAGCTCCAAGCTAGGGATTGAAATGATGAGGGCCGATAGCCACGACAGTGTCACTTTTGGATCTGAAAGTACGCCGGAACCTGTCACACAGGTCGTGACACCTTCCAAGGAGATCGACATGCCTTCGTACGAGACTTTGCAAGACGCAGCCACGCGTACGCCTCCGGATAGTGGCATAAGCTCAGAAGATAAGACACTTATCCCCGACGTTGACGAGACGCCGAAGCCGCTCCCGACGAACAGAGAGGATGACGCAGACGGGGCAACGCCAAGAGCGTTGGATCGATCTGGGGTGCTGGGAAATTAAGAGCACAGGAGCGCTCGCATACCTACGGAAAAGGATGCGGAGACATTTACCAGCCGGCAAAGCCTATCATGTTATGGCAGTCTCCAGCAGATATGGAACATATTTTTCTTTTTCTTTTTGTTCAGTTGTTTACCCGACAGCGAGGCGTTTAGCGGGGACAACAGTGACACGCAGACTGCATCATTTCCTTGAGTTTATGGTGGCTGGGAAGGGTTATGGCGTTATGGATTTGATTTTGCTAGTTCAGCCCGAAGGTCTCCTGGAGGAGGATGCGGCATTGAAGGACGGGGAGGTCTTCTATTCCACTATCTGTTATTGCACTTGTGTGCAGGGCGGATGCGAGGGTGCTGCATTGCCCTGCATACTAACTTTCATTCTTCTGCACAGACTTCTTTGGGCGACTGCGCTCACCATCACACACCGCTCTTGACTTTATTTCCTCCTTTTCCTTTCTATATTGTTCTGTGTCTACACGATTTAGGCTCTCTCCTACAAACTGCATCTGGGTTGACGAGAAGGGACGAGCAGGGTCGATATTCCGGACGCGGCGGGGTTCTGTGACATACAGTTGGCCCTTGCTTGATACAAGAAGAACACCCGGGCAGACATGCTTGGTAACTGGGTCTATTGATCAAGCATGGTTGCGTCGAGGGAAAGACTCTTGTTTCTCCCTTCTTTTTGCGTTATGGTTTTTGCATCCGGGTCTGACGCAGTGCCGCCAAAAGTAGGGGGAGTCATGGCTCAATCAAAACAAAAGCCTCTTAAAAAACAAAACAAGACTGAATACAAGTATCATCAGACTGCAATGACGTTGATGGCTACGGCCGTGCTTTCTTTCCTACTACCAAGTGTTCAACGTGCTGTCTATTACTCGGATTCGCAACTTTCCGTCTATTCTGGGGATTATGGAATAAGGTACGATGATGGCCATTCGAAGAAGCGATCTGAGGAGGCAACCTATCAAGACTACATCATCTCGTCCCCCCCCCCCCCCCCCCTTTCGGCTTGCTAATTATGGGATGACCCGAACAGTGGCAATGACGGTGACTGCGTAGGTTTCTGGCAACGGCGTGGCTGAGCACGTCACGGAGGGGGAGCTCTCGGACTCTTGGCGGTCGAAGCGATGACGGATTGCACAATTCTTGACGGACGTTGGGGCCGTTGAAGAGACGGATGCTTTCAGAAGTGGCAAAGTCTCTCTTGCCTCGTCTGAAGAGCTCGAAGTGAGGCAATCATGGGGTCGGTACACATTAGGAAGCGAAGGTCCGGCCCGTCTATTTACATCCCTCCTCATCTAAAGCTCGTCATGAGCGGCGATGTTGGTAGTTTCATGAATGATCATGACATATGAGGGAAGGAAGAGCAAGATTACTCTGTACATGTTGAGGCTGTGCTGATTTGAATATTGAGAGGACTTATGCTCTCGTAAATGATGTTTCACGGAGATGGATGTCTATGGCATTTTGTAATATGGTCAAGAAAGACAGCGGGAACGGGCTTCCCCCTCCTCTTACGGGCTTGCGGACAAGCTCTAGGTGCCAGGATGAGGGGTGATGCCTGAACCGGGGATAATTCGCCGGGCGGACGAGAAAGCCATGCGGAGAGGGTTTGTTTTTTAAGGTGTTCGGGCCAGAGGATTGAGTTCACCGTTGCACTACCTAGAATGGCAGGCGTCCTTACGCGCATAGAGTTGGAGGAAGACTAAGCCTCCTACTCAGTACTTAGTCTAGATGGCGAGCGATGAGAGGAGGAGGAGGGGGTATAACGTGTAGAGTCCATCTCGAAATGTGGAATCCGGGGGAAAGAGTTGATGGTGTCGTCGGCGATGCATGGTGAGCAGTCGGTTCATGCAATCATTGGCTCCAAGCACTGGGTTGATTTCATCCCAAGTGTGCTTGCTTTAACAGCAAATGTCTTGTCCTATATCATTCTGATGAAATGCTAATACTGAGAGTTTATAGTGCATGTTTTGAGATGCTTGTAATTTTTCATCCGCTCATTGATCCGCTCATTGATATTTAGATAGCATTTGTTTTTTTGGGATGTAATTGGGTTACTACGTTGGAGAGCTGACGTCTTTGACATGGCCCTTGGATGGGTTAGAGTGAGTAAGTGAGTGAGTGAGAGTCTGAGAGTTGCGGTGATGTGAGAGGAGAAGTGAGAAAGTCAGAGAGTGAGAGGTGAGAGGGTGAAAGGGAGAGTGCGAGGGAGAGTGAGACGAAGAGTGCAAAGAAGCTTTGCCAATGTGCGTGGCGGCCGAGGCTTGTGTGAAAATCGTGTGGACTTGGCACTTGGCGCTTGGCGGTGCGACGTTGACGACGACTGCGGTGCTGCTGCGGACGACGAGGGGACGTTGCGACTGAGGGAAAAAAGAGGAAAACGAGCACGCGAGCACTTTCTCGATGGCGGCTAGCACAGGATGCAAAGGAAAATTGAAAAGGTCTTGGCGATGGCTCGGCATGCGGGAAGGTACCAAGGGTTTAGTGGGAAGAGATCCCTCGCATAGGCTCTTTAATTTGCCGTACGATGATTTTCGATTGTTTTTTTTTTTTTTTTTTTGTCGTGGTCGAGGTTTCGTCAACGCCGTCAACGCCGTCAACGCAAGCTTCATGCAGCCACAACGTGCATGGGAGAAGGCTAGGCCATGCCGGAAGTGCGGGTTTGCTGGGAGTCAATAGATCTGGCACGTTTTCGTTTTACGAGTGGTGATTGGCTGGATCTGGATGACTTTTGTTTCGGCGGTTCTTGTAATTCCTTTAAGCTCGTTGAGCAGGGTGGCATGCCATGAGTGGAGTCTCCTATTCGTACCGCAGTCGAGAGAAAAAAAAAGGTGCCGTGTGGGTAGTGGCGGGGTTATTTTATGGAGAGGACGAGAAGGAATGCTGTGAAGAGATTGGTCCGACGATCCGTCCGTCACCTTCTTTTGGTCGCCTTGTCACTTGTATCTTTTTTTTTTCTCTCTCTACACAGTAAGGTAGCAGAGGTACGTCCTTCTTGCTCTGGGGACTGGGAGTGACAGGAAGGCGCGCGGAAGGGGAGGGGAGGAGCGGCCAGACCACTGCAGAGGAATCAACAGAGGAGGACTGCAGCAGTGCAACCAACATCTTGCTCTTTCTCCTCCTTCCCCTCCGTTCGTTCGCCTTGCTGCAGGTTGGGACATGGGGGTCCAGGTGCTGCTCTCTTTCTGCAGCCGCAATTGGCGGGGCGAGTCAGCAGGACATGGAACGCCTGAGCTCTTTTGCGTTTCTGCTCAACGACAACGACTGCACGCGGTTGACCTCGGCCGGGAGGGAGGAGGACGACACGGAGGAGTAAGAGAGGTACTTGAAAGGGTGGTTGTTTGGGAGAGATTGGGGATAAGGGGATCAGTCAGGTAAAGAGACACAAGACGGGGGATCCAGGCGTGGAAGAGATGGGAGGTTTCTAAAAGAGTCTCGATGGAAGGGGACTGCCTGTCTTGCATGTGTCGAACCATGGAGACAGATTGTGCCTCGTGGGATTTTGGAGTTTGAGAGCTGAAGCTTGAGCTCTACGGAGTAACGTACACACCATCTGTACACGCACAGTTACGCGATCAAGACAGCCTGGACTTGAGGCGGGAATGGCGAATGATGGCCAGTGCTGGAAAGTAAAATAAAAATAAAATAAAAAAAAGACTGCCTTTCAATGCGTGACTTTCCCTCTGTCTGTTACCGTCACAGTTGCAGTTCAAAGTATTTCGGACGCTCCCCCCGCGTGCCCTCGCACATCATCCACAGCACATGGTGCACATGGTACGACTTTGGCCGAATCGAAGACGGGACTGTCAGAGTTGGTGGCTGCCAAGATGTGTACAAAGGTACCTCTCTCTGGTATACCTATTCGTACGGAGCAGGACCATATTGGGTGAGGTGTCGTGTGAGAACATCGGCGGTGGCAGGCTGGATCTCGGTGCGGTGGACAAGGGCAGGCAAGCACGGAAAGGCAGGATCTTCGGGAGCGACAACCTGGAAAGACCCAACAGGCCTAGCTGGCTCGGATTTTACCTGCTTTCTTTCCTCTTCGGCTCTTCCTGACATGTCCAGTCCTTGCGCAGCTTTGCCTCCAAGGTGCCCCTAGAGAGTCCAAAGTTGAAGGTGCTCCAAAGCTAGCCCAACCAGGTGACGTAGAGCTTAGTGTGCCCCGCCCGTTTTCGGGTTTGACCGCAGCTGGTCCCTGTGTCATTTTTCTGGCCTTTTTTATTCCAGCTTGGTTTTTTTTTTTTTTCTATCAATCTGTTTTCTTGCCGGTGCTCAACCCGCTAGTCCAAAAACAAATTAAGATGGGAAAACAATAACAATAAATCGCACTCAAGGTCTGAACCCAATGCTCAAACTCGGCTTGTCTTGCCCCAATTACAATACCGTACACATTCCACACAGACACACGCCTCTTCAACGGCCACCCGTGTCGCCTCTTACCTCATCCCACTCCTCTTGTGGCCCTGACGCCTGGGGGGTTTATGGGTCTTCCCACACTCACCTTGATCACAAGGCGAGGTACACCGTAGCCGCACACGGTACAATGAGAAGAAAGTGGAGGGAAGCCGCCATGGCCCATGGGTACGTCTGAGGTCGCGGCGAACATGGAGAGCAGTTGAGTGCATGAGCAACCCAAATGGTCCTTCTACTCTGTGAATGCACTTGCTCAGAATTCCACTGCATAATACTCCGTATCTTCTTGGATGTGACCATGGGCGCTGCCGATGCTACGAAAAAATCAACATCTCTCAGGTACTCCAGAACTCAGGTCATAGCAGATGTCTCCCGACACGGGACATTCCTCTTCTTCTCCATGCCATCCCATCCCATCCCATCCCATCCCATGCTCCGGTCCATGGATCCCAGCCCAACCCCCAGTGGGGTGTAAGTGGGCAGAGTGGCCACACCCCACCACAGACAGTCAGTCCTAAGCCCGTCCTCCTCTTCCTCTTCCGCCTCTCGAGTCTCAAGTATCTGAGTCTGCAGTGCTGCACATCGTACCCCCTGGTCCACTGGGGGCTTGATTCCGTCTGTCCATCCAAATCACCCGGTTGGACGCGCTTACAGCAACTTTGGCAATTGGCCTTTTCATTACTGTTATCGCTTTGTATCGTCTTCCACATCAGCAAGACCAGTCCGCAGCAGAAGCCGCAGCAGCACCACCACCAGCACCCCATCTTTCAATCTCTGACCCTTAGCTCCTCTTTGCCCATCCGTAACCCAACCTGGGAAAAGATTCGAGACCACCCTGGCGACGCGGTACATGTACTTCCTACACCACCTATAGTATACCTGACCGTCGACCTATCCAACTCAAGGGGTCCTTTCGGCACATCAGAGAACCGTTGACCCGCCGGTGAAGCAGCCACGGGATCCAATTCTCGACGGAGACTGGTCCAGAGTCCCAAGACTCGAGCGGCTCCTCGGGGTTCGGCCGATTCCACATCCAGGACATCTTGTCACTGAGGCAAGACATCTGCCCCGACCAGGTCCTCCACCGTCCCGGGATCAACTTTGCTTATATCTGCTCCCGTCCCTCTCTAGTCCATTATCATTGTGCTCCCTTTCTCTCTTCCCGCTGTGGCCATCATCAACACCCCTCTCCCCCTCCATCCTTTGCCTGCTTTCTTTAGGTAAAGCAAGGAACCACTTGTACCAGTGAACCTTGTCCGTGGGTTACCGTCCCATCCTCTCAAGGTTTTGCTTTGGTCTCCCCGCAACCTCCCTACGAGACACATCTAAATACCACAGCCACCCACCCCCTTCACATCGGCGCGTGAGCTAGTCCAGCTCGTCACTAAACACTTCCTTCTCACCACCCCCAGGAAGTGTCTCGGACACCTCACAGTCTTTATTCACAATGGCGACTCATCACCAGCGCCATTCCGCCCCCATTGGCGTGATTCCCGTGCCTCACGGTCCGGAGACGGGCCAGGAGCATGAGGACTACCCCCGGGAGCACACCACCGCGCATGAGCGCGAGATTTTTGGTCACGTCACGCGTCCCGACGACTCCTATACCCCCGACGGTGTCTACTGGGCCGATTTGCCTCTGTGGAAGCGCGTCAGCTTCGTCAACAAGGTCGATCGCGATGAAGCCGCCAAGGAGCTCAGGGCCACCGGCGAGATGATGAAGAAGGATCCCCTTTCTCCTCTCTCCTGGTACTTCCGTAACGCTGTTCTTCCCGGTGCCGGCCTCGGTCTCGAGGGTTACGTTCTGTTCTCCATTGGTAACTTGGAGCCCCTTTTCGCTGCCGTCTGGCCCGAGTGCTGGGGCAAGGGACACGCCGTTTGCACACAGAACTGGGTCGCCTCTGTCACATATCTCGAGATTGTCGGTATCATGATTGGTCAAGCCGCTGTTGGTGTAAGTTTGAAAGCCGCGTTTTGTGAGAGATTACGAAATTCTGACATGAATACAGGTCATTGGTGATTGGATTGGCCGTCGTTGGGGTCTCATTCAGGATGCCGCCATCATGTTTGTCGGTCTGCTGCTCTTGACCGGCTGCTGGGCCAGCTCCCTCCAGGGCTGGGTCATTTTCTACGCCTGGTCCCTCTTCTTCTACGGATTTGGTGTTGGTGGTGAATACCCCATCACTGCGACGTCCTCCATGGAAAACTCAGTCACCGCCGGTCGTCTGTCTACTCGCGAAGATCGCCTTCACCGCGGCCGCAAGGTCACCATGGCTTTCCTGATGCAGGGTTGGGGCCAGCTCATCAACCAGGTCGTTCTCATCGTCCTTCTCGTCATCTTCAACCGCGGATATGGCAACGGCCCGTACACCCAGTCCGCCGCTCAGTACACCTTCCGTCTCTCTTTCGCCCTTCCCGCCATTGGTACTCTGTGGCTCGTCTACTACCGTACCTGGAAGATGCCGCGCGCAAACCAACAGCTTGCGCTGGCTAAGAAGAAGCAGGGTGTCACCGGTTACGACGTGAACGCTCTGAAGTACTGCTTCCAGCACTTTGGTGGCCGTATTCTGGCTACCGCTGGTACTTGGTTCTGCAACGACGTTTTCTTTTACGGCAACAAGCTTTTCCAGGGTCAATTCATCTCGGTCATCTCCAGCAACCCCGATTCCCTCTTGACCAAGTGGACGTGGAGTTTGATCAACGTTGTCGTCTCCCTTGCCGGTTACTACCTCGCCTCCCTTTTCATTGACAACAAGCTTTACGGCCGCAAGATGATGCAGCAAGTTGGCTTCTTCATGTGCTTCGTCATGTTCGTCATCCCCGCCTTCAACTTCGAATACTACACCAGCCCAGCTGGCGTTCACGCATTCCAGGCCATGTATTTCCTCAGCTCCTTCTTCAACCAATTCGGACCCAACTCGGTTACCTTCCTCGTCGCCGGTGAGGTTTTCCCTACCCCCGTCCGCGCTACGGCCCACGGGTTCTCCGCCTGCATCGGCAAGGCTGGAGCCCTCCTCGCCTCCGTCCTCTACAACTACATCGACACCCAGACCAAGTTCTACGTTGTTCCTTGGTTTGGTCTCGCCGGCATGGTTCTCACCTACCTCTTCCTGCCCGACACCACCGGTCTCGATCTCAAGGAGCAGGAGCGTCGCTGGACCTACATCCGCAGCGGCAAGGAGGCCGAGTACCACGGTGTCGCCGTCCACCCCACCCATCTCAGCGTCTGGGAGCGCCTCCGAGGTGTCGGCAAGTACTACGACGCCGAGAAGGATCACAAGGCCCAGATCGAGGACATGCGGAAGGAGTGGGAGGAGAGACAGGCGATGCAGGGCGAGAAGGAGCCCGAGGTCTGGGAGGACCCCGAGCTCTTCTCCGAGGCCATGCACGGCTACTTCAAGGAGCAGCACAAGGGCAAGTCTCAGGGTGGTGTGATGCACGACGCCGACGCGTCCGAGTCCTCGTCGGCGCGGGAGAAGGAGACGGGTGACGAGATCCAGCCCAGCCCGATGCTGAGAGCGAGGCAAGATCGCACTGATCTCGACGAGAAGAGAGGTTAATTGTGCATGAAGTGGTTTATTTGCATTATACACATAATGAGGAGTATTAAAAATGGGCTTTGGAGTTTTACAACATGGACGGGATTACTTGCATTGGGCTGGGGCTTTGGGTAGAAACATACTCAGCATGGCGTATAAGACGCCCGAATATTCTTAACGTATTATGACTACCATACTCTGTTATCCTTGCTCTCGGTGATTTTTCGTATATGGTGCCTGCCATCAATCTCTGCCTACATAATTTTGTTGACCATGCCCTTATGGAATCAGGAGCACCCATTATCCGTACATATAGGAGTCGCATTCCCATCACAAGCAGACCAGGGGGGGGTGGAAGTCGAGGCTCACAATCTAAGCAAATTGCGCCAAAAGCTTGATTACCTGCCGTGCGGGTACCTTTATAACACCAAGTCAGGTATAAAGGTTACACGACGGCCCCGGCGATCCCGGCAGACGGCATATGGGTGCCGCCCTATGACCTTCGATGCATGGACCACGTGAAGGCTGGCGGCGCTCTGGGTATCTGAGGTAATTGACGACGGTTCCTGGATGATTAGAGTATTCGGTCTGGAAGTTCGCCTGCGGATTGCTCGTGTGCGCATATCGGCCGGCGCTCTGTTCTTCAAGCCCTGATGACCTCTTGCTTCAGCAATGGCCCAGGTAGATAGAGAAGGTGATCTAAAAAAGGGGGGAAAGGCTTGCCGAACATTCCTATTCAGGTGTTGGGACACATAGAGGTAAGGGCGGCTAGATGCTAGGAGTTTTACATTATGTAAGGGATAGTGTCTTGTGGTGAGTTGAATCTTTGGGATGGGACCTAGGATGATGAGGACTATGGATTTCTATCCCGCCTTTTCGGCTTCGTGGCCCTTTCGGAACACGTTACAAGTAGCGATGACATGGTAATGATGAGTATCCCAGTGAAGTGGGCAAGTGAGTAGTTGGTACGAGTGCTTCTCGACCTTCCTTGTGAGTATGCCTCCATCATTAACGTCGTTGAGGGTTGAAGGAGCAGGAAACCTGAGAGAGGCTCGGATAGTAGGCAGTTATTTTGGAAGAAGCCGACACGGAGATATATAAACCAGAACCACCTCGTCGTCATAAATACCTCTTCACCACTACTTATAACGTATTCTGAGTGGACCTCGACGTCAATGATGAGATATTTGTCCTATGTCTCTCTCATCCTAGCTACTGAAGACCCTAGCCAGATGCTCTTACCAACGTCATACTCACTCTAATAGGTTCTCTATGAATTAAAAGGGGCCATCATGGTACGGGAAATGATAGAATAAGGGAACCAAGGTCCGCTTAGTTCTTTGCGAAGTCTCCAGTGAAAAGGAGAAAAGTCAGTACCTAGACTGTTACCTTTCTTACAAGGGACACAAGACGAGTAAGATAGCTGCGAACATCGTACTAGAATCGTCAGGGTGGTCCAAGAATACGAGTACCTCGATGCAACGACCTTGGTAACTAGGAGCTTTCTACCCTTGCTGACATTGTCTTATCAACTATCATAGTTATACCTTAGGTTGTCTCGTCAGACTACAACACAACTCTTTTATGTACGGTTCGTTGGGTCATCTGCTTCGGCGTTTGAATTGAGACTCCTGCTCCCGAGCTCTGGAGGCAAGATAATTGTCCGGAGAGAAGCTTCCCATCCCACCAGAGGTTTATGGAGGGCCAAAGGACAGGTAAACAAAATATAAGCTCACTTATTCAACTACACACGCACAAGTGGTTCAAACGTCTTGGCAAGTGAGATGGTCATGATATCTAAACATTCTTCAGCCCGATATACATGAGCTAACTAAATCCTTCATTGTGACGGCCTGTTTTCTCTCAACATCTTCCTAATATTTTTCGCCGTCATACCAGCCAGCGGATGGGGCTCCATGTCCGGCTCTTCGTCAGCCTTGATACTAACCTCACCGCCACTCAGAGCCGCCACCCGTCCCGGCAACACAGGCAGATGCGTATGCGGATCATACACCGCGCCCTTGGGCACAACCTGCGTCTGCACCGTCGCGGACCCTTCTCGGAAGGTACTCTCCGGGGGACCCTGCGTGATCAGATTCTTCCCAAGCACCATTGGCGTCGTCCCAGACGCGATATCCACACCCTTGATCGTCCGCTCCTGGATCCTCAGCGCCGCCTCGGGCTGGTTGAAGGCAGACAGGTGACCCGCAAAGAATAGCCGCGTAAAGGAGAAGTTATCGGCCTGCTTTACCTCCCCCGGCACCTGCCCGTCCGTGTTGGCAGACATGTTGACGAACCCGGCGCTCGCCCAGTTCGCCGTGCCCAGCTGCGCAGCGACGATTTGCGCGCCAATCATGTTACTGTCGTAGTCGGCGTCGCCGGTGAAGAGGGAGACGGTGACCCCTTGCTGGACAAGATTCTTGAGCGACTGCGTGACCAGCGCCCCGGTCCGGCTATCGTCGCCTGTAGACCCGAAGGCGATGGCGGTCTGCACCGACGCTTGGGTGAAGTTATTGGACGCCCCGATGGCGGCTTGCACGTCGGCTCTGTTAAGGTAGCTCACGAACGTCGCGGAGGGGTACGGCTCGGGCAGTAAGAGGCGTATGTCGTTCTCGGCGCGGCCGGCGTTGACGTCCCAAAAGTCCTCTACATTCTTCACGCAAAAGGCGTCGGCTTCGGCGCAGAGCCTGTCGGTTGGCTGGGCGTTGCAGGCGTTCTGTCGGTCCTGGCAGCCGCCCGTGCCAAACATGTTGTTGAAGAGCTGCTTCTGGAGGGTGTCGTTGAAGGGCTTGACGTCGTAGGGGTTGCCGGGGGAGACGGAGTAGTTGAAGTAGGCGCCAAACTGCACGCGGGTGTCCATGAAGCCGTCCTCGATGGAGATGGACTTTAGGGGCACCTGGACGGTGCCCGGGGCGTTGGCCTTGTTCTGCTGGGTGATGAAGTCGGCGAAGACGGGGACGTAGTGGCCGCCGTACGACTGGCCGTTGATGTGGACCCCGTTGGCCGCGTACTGTGGGAAGGCGCCCATGATCCCCTGCATCACCTGGTAGAATACCTTCGCGGCGTCGGCTGTCGAGTTGGGTGTGAGGGAGATGTCCATGGAGGAGTAGGTTCCGCACATGGGATCCGCGGATGTGCACTGCTGGGGTACGATCTCGGCCGTCTTGGGGTTGACGGTGCCGTTGACCAGGTTGGTGAAGGAGAAGCCGACGGTGGCGGGCTGGTCGACGAATAGGAGGTTGCTCACCGTCGACCACGAGTTTGGGTTATCCACCACTTTGCCCTTGGCGTCGATGGAGCAAGGACCGATCTCGGTGAAGAGGCCGTTCATGGAGGACGCTCCCGGCCCGCCGTCCAGTCTGACGGTCAAGGGAGCCGCGGCGGCATTCTGTCGTGCCTCGAACATGTAAAAGTACATGTGCTGGGTCGGGCTGACGTCCACGTAGCCGGCGAAGCTCTTCACGTTGGGGTTGGTCTCGCAGATGCCGTTCGGCACCTCTTTGAAGCGGACATTGACGCCTCCGGCTCCCTTGACCGTCTTGAGATCCGTAGGCTGAGCAACAAACTGTGCAGAAATTAGAGATGAAAAGAAAGCAACAGCGCAACTGAGAGTGGCCCGGATCATCATATTGTTTCGCTGCCGCATCTAGCGGACGGATCGACGTGATGGCTACCGTGGAAAAAGTGTGAACGATCGGAAAATGTCGATCCAGATCGACCAAACGAACGCAACTTGCGTATTACATACGATTTGCACCCTCGCTATCGGTGAAGATCCATACCTAGGCGTCTTTAAGGTTCCATCCAGAAGTTTGAAGGAGTGGCTAGTCCCTCACAAAACCAGCCTCACTGATCACGAAATGGCATCTTCTCAGGTCGTATAAGCATGGGCAATGCTGGGTCGTCCCCCAATGCTAGGTAGGAAAGCTTATTTGTCACTTGGGACACGGACTGTCACGTAAAACGCCGTGGAGACCGCGGGATTGTTGTCCGTACCACTCAGGGTCCAAGTTCAGACAAGGCTCACCCATTTCCAAGTCGGTTGATTCGGCTGAGAGAGCCAGACACTAGGCTGTTTGAAGGTGCTGGTCGTCTCAAGTTATTGGTGGCTGACGATTGATGACGGACGAAGAAGTAATCTAGCCCGACTTGCCTGGTTTCCCATACATCTTCGAGGAGGTGAGTGAAGATGGCTGTGTAGTGCGTACGAATCCCAATCTTGGAAAAGCTTTTCAAAGGTTTCATGAATTCCCCATTGCTCTTGAGAGCGACGGTAGGTATGTGAACCGATGGGGCTGGGGTGTGTAAGTGAATGAAGCTATTGATGTAGTCATATGTCCCATGTGAAGGGACATACTGAGTTAACGTTTGTTTCCTACCACGAAGGAAATAAGTGGTTCAGTAGTAGAAAATATTGGGATCAGTGGTGGAAGTTATATAACCACATTGAGTTCTTTCAAATGCCAACTCGTAAGTTCTTGCCAAGGTGAACAACCGGCGAACACATCGACTGAACGAGCGATAAGCTCACGCGTCCCGAAAGCTGATGGACTAGGATCACCCTCGGAACTTCCGACTTCCGACATCAGCCGAAAAATCCAACAAGAAACGCCCGCAAAGTTTCATATCCCCATTGATGTGATGATGCTTATATCTCGACCTCGTCCCCACATCGAAAGAACTGCGTGGGTCGGATTGAAATGTAAAGAGTCCCACTTGGCTGGTTTTCTTCAAGCACAACAAAACGGTCGCCATGCTTAGTAATACACACGGCGTACCTCTTAAGCACAAATCTAGCGTCAAGCGCCGTACAAGAACTTTATTGATATGAGCTAACGGAATGGTCCGATACAGAGAGATTCAGATGTTCCGTTGATCGGATGAAGGAACGCATAGGCAATGAATTGGAACATCGGAATCACGAGGAATGCATTGGGCGCTGGCATATGTAATCAGGCCAGTGTCTCTGAGTGGATAGCGGCATCGCCCGTTATAGAAAGTGGGGGAAGGGGATTGTGCTTGGAGGGGTCACTCTGATTAGACGTCCATAGCTTCCGACAGCTTTCAATGACTTCTCATCTCAGCTCATCTCACTCACTCAATTCAACACCAACACCTCTCATTGACGTAGCTTCATAGCCTTTATATCCATCGAGTTTCGAATTCTCACCACTGTACTGAGCAATCGAATAACCGCAATCATGTTCACCGGCATCGTCGAGGAAATCGGAGGTCCGGACCCCTCACCTTTCACACTTGACTCACCCCTCACCACACCCTGTGAATACCCTCAACTAACATCCGTCCAGTCGTCTCCGAACTCAACCCCAACGACGAGACAGGAGGCACCTCCCTCACAATCACCCTCCCCGAGTCCTCCACCCTTCTCTCAGACTGCCACCTCGGCGACTCAATCGCCATCAACGGCGTCTGCCTCACCGTCACATCCTTCGAGCCCTCCGGCCCCCCCTCCTTCAAGGTCGGCGTCGCCCCCGAGACCCTGCGCATCACCAACCTCGGCTCCCTGGTCAAGGATTCCCGCGCCAACCTCGAGCGCGCCGTTCGCGCCGACACCCGCATGGGCGGCCATTTCGTCCAGGGCCACGTCGACACCACGGCCACCATCCTGGCCGTCACGCCCGACGGCAACGCCCTCACGTTCCGCTTCGCGCCGCGGGACAAGGCTGTTCTGCGCTACATCATCTACAAGGGCTACGTCGCGCTCGACGGCACGAGCTTGACCGTGACGCAGGTCAATGACGAGGAAGGCTGGTGGGAGGTCATGTTGATTAGCTACACGCAGGAAAAGGTTGTCGTCGCGAGCAAGAAGCCCGGTGATACCGTCAACATTGAGGTTGACATGATGGCAAAGTATGCGGAGAAGAGCCTCGCGGGGTACCTTGGCGGTGCTGGCAGCGCTCCGTTGGAGAGAATGGTTGAGCGGATCGTGGCTCAGGGACTTGGTGGCAGGTCTTGAGGAGAGAGTGTATGTATGTATGTAATGAAAAGAAAACGTCATTCCTAGGTTTTTATATGAGCTTCTTTTTACAGCTACCATGAGTTATTCTAAAAAACTCTTTGTTTGTACAAGCTGCCCTTTGCCATTCGACGAATGTGAATGGGCATCCGGCGTGTCACCTGGAGGTGGTTGGAGTCCCCGCAAAGTCGTCCAACAAGAGCGATGTACAACAACTACCATCACTGACGACACAAAAGCCATCAACCAACGAGTATCAAAGTGCAAAAGCCCAGCCCCTTTCACGGGGGGCCTACGAAATCCCAGGTGACTCTTCTTCCTATTCCTCAAATGTAAAGATGCGAGGATTTTCACGAGACTCAAAGTCGTGACCTGTGAGTGGGGGGCAATCCAAACGAGGACGTTCCCCGCGACGCCATAGGCCTTGGTGAAAGGATAATCTCCTTTTCCTTCCTTAAGGGTTGGGTGGTGCGCGTGACCCGGATATGTGATGAGTCTATGACTGCTGGCTGTATATTCGCAATAGGGATATTCATTCATAATTAGGCATCGCCCCAGACCTCGGCTAGCCGTTGACTGACGGCCTTGGCAATTTTCTTGCGCCCTACAAGGTTGGGTAGTCCGCTAATAACCATCTCCCGTTTCCTCTTGAGCCCTTGCTCCCCTGAACCGCACTCCTGAAACGCTTTGATGAAATCATGCGGTGTCTTCCACCGCTTCTGAATCTCCAAAGCCTTCTCTCCCGTAATGCCCCTAGTCGTCATGAGCATTTTGAGGTAAACATCTCGCAGGGTCATCATGTCCGACTTGGACGCCAACGACGCGAAGGCTGCGTAGGTGATGTAGTAATTTGTCGTAGGCTCCTTCTCTCGGAGGTGTTCCAGCAACGGCAAGTAGTTTTGCGCTGTCAAGACCGGGGTCGGTATGACCAAAAGAGGCTTACATTCGTACATCTTCTTGAGCATGAATGTCATCCGCGCAAGGTACCGGATTGTATCGTCCATCTTCTGGGTCTTCTTCAAAAAGTAGCCATTAACTACTTGTGTAGAAGCGGTGGCCGATTGAACCATTTCCTCAATCTTGGAGAAATATGCTGAGTCTAAGGAAATTTCCTCAACGATGTAGACGACGTGCTTGACCCCGGATTTCCGAAGTCGAAATTTCTGCTCGTGAAAACGGCCGTCCTTGATACTGCTAACAAGATCGTCTAGTCGCTTGCGCTCGACAATCCAATCTAGCACAACCTCGTCTCCCTCTGCGCCATGTCGGGATAGGGCGGTGGGATCGTGGCATCTGGCAATCCATTGCGCGTCGCCGACGTCCAGAGCTCGCATGATAGGTTTTACGCCCTTTTTGGTGAGCTCGTCTTGCATGTAGTCGCGATCCTTGACTGCTCGAACTTCGCGGATGTCAAGGGCGAGATGAACAGTGAAAGAGCCGGGCGCGAGCCGAATCGGGTCGAAGTTTGGTAACGATGCCTCATCCGAAACCGCTGGTCCGTTCGCGACGACGCCTTCGTATTCTGATGTCGTTCTTGGCCATTCCACTGGCTCGACAGATGGCGAAGCTTCTCTATTCAACGGTAGGGAGGTTGGGTTAACCCCCGTTGCAAGACCGGCATGCGTGCTGGGGCCTGCAACATTATTGTCGGCTGCACCGCTTGCCTCTGTGGTCTTTTTGATGCGTTCAGCAACTTCCCATCCCTCATCAGTAAGAGAGTACCGCCTCTGTGGACGGCCTTTCTCACACACGAGGTCTTTTTCGATGAGAGTCTTCATCGAGTTCCACGCCGTGTAGGACTTGCTAGGGTCACTGGGCGCTGAGAAGGATGCGTCGCAGTTTTCCTGGGCCAACTCTATGAGATTGACTTTGGTTAATCCGAATTGAACACCCTTATCGAGCGCGGCGAGTGATACCAGGAGAGCGTAGGCGCCGGAACGATAAGTTGGGACGTAAGGCTTTGCCTTGCGTGCCTTCTTGGGTGGAGGGGGCTCGTCATCTTCAGCAGCGCCGCCGAGGGATGTGTGGTCTTCCCTGGACAGCCGTGGGTTCTTAGGCATGGGCAAACCGTTTGACTCGCAATGCTCTTTTAGCTTATCGGTCAAACGTGAAGAGAGCTTGTCACCGAAGCCCTTGAGCTGGGTGAGCTGGCGTGGATGTTTGAAGGTGATAGGACATGCCTTGAGAGATTCGTAGGCATTTCGATAGGTGGAGGTGCTCTTCATGTTTCGTTCTCTCGCAGTATCCAGCCACTCCTTGACCCAGTCAAGGAGCAGGGGATTAGCGTATTGCTCGTGTTCGCCAGCCATGGTGCTGCCGTGATGTTGGAGGATCCTCGGCGTACTTCGAAGGTCATTGCCAAGAGCTCAGCGTAGAAGAGAGCATCTCTGCCGGCAAGCATGCAGCCAGGCTGGGCAGTACGATTTCCAAAATTGCACCAAAAATGCCCTAAAATGCAGTTGTCAACCTAGATGCCGAACGTGCCTCGCCGGCTAGAAAGGGGTGAGGGACAGAGGGTGGGGAGGAAGGAAACTTGGAGTCGCGACGCGTAGACACGCCAAGTAGTGGCACTTGGCTTAGAGTGGTCATCACGAATTCACGTGATATGAGGTACAGTGCATTTGACTTCGGTGCCAGGACCATCCAGTGTTCTGAGCGCTGAGTGCGCCGATCACCTCCTTAGTGCGTGACAAAATAATCCGCCGCAGATTTATCCTACTCACTCTTCTTAATCACTACTATACCATTACTGTTGTTCTGGTCAATACTTGGGAAACACAAAACTGGAATTTATTTCATCGGGGATATCCTGAGATAGTTCAAATATGCAAAAAGAACAGTCCCATCAGTATCCAAGGTGATGGAAAGCAGTTGTCGGGATGTGTTGAGCGGCAGTTTAGGTACTGTGTTACCCACTTGTGCCCCTCATGGACGCTGAGGAGGGGCAATCCGGGCTGCGACCCCACTCCTTCCTGTTGCGGTGTGCTGCATCCATCCAGCGCCCAGTCTGACTTGCATGATTGCATCACGGGCAATGGCTACGGCGGGGACTGCCTGTTGAGCTCGCTGCTGTTCTCGCATGAGGTAACTGGTGGGGAGCTGAGGTGAGCCTGGCAGTACCAGGTACAGTTGGTAAGCAGTTGAAAGTTGAGTGGAGGAAACAGCACACTGGAATGGCGGCCTCTGCATCCAGTTTCCAGGTCAGCAAGTAAGGTACGGTAAGGTAGGCAAACTGCCACCCTCCATTTCTCTCCACTGTTTCCTCGTAAACATCCCCAGCTCTAATTACCTACTACGTTGCCTCTTTCTCTCCCTCCTTCTTCACCCCCGGCCATCGTTCTTCCAACACGTCAAACTCCCTTTTGAAATTGCCTCGTTCCGTTGTCCACCATAGCCACTCGCTTGAGCACACCGCCCGCCATGTCGGACGAGAAGATCATCGCCGCTTCGCAGAAGCACCCCATCGTGCCGAACCACACCTTCAAGTATGGCACTGCGGGGTTCCGGATGAAGGCTGATCTCCTCGACGGTGTTACTTTCCGTGTCGGTCTGCTCGCCGGCCTGCGCAGTCGCAAGCTCAATGGCCAGGCCATTGGCGTCATGATCACGGCTAGCCACAATCCCGCTGCCGATAATGGTGTCAAGGTTGTTGACCCCATGGGCGACATGCTCGAGCAGGAGTGGGAGTCGTATGCTACTAAGCTCGTCAACAGCTCCTCGGACCAAGAGCTAGTCGATAACTACAAGGCCCTGGCCTCCCAGCTCCGCATCAACCTGTCCGACCCTGCTCGCGTCGTTTACGGTCGAGACACACGTCCTTCGGGTCACAAGCTTGTCGCTGCCCTAGCCGATTCCTTTGAGGCTACCGGCGTTGAGTACACCGACTACAAGATTCTCACCACTCCCCAGCTCCACTACCTCACCCGATGCGTCAACACCGAGGGCACACCACAGTCGTATGGCAAGGTCAGCGAGACTGGCTACTACGAGAAGTTTGCCGACGCTTTCGTCAAGGCCCTCAAGGGCCGCAAGGTCGACGGGCAATTGACCATTGACTGCTCCAACGGCGTTGGTGGCCCCAAGTTGACCGAGTTCCTGAAGCACGTCCCCAAGGATGTCACTGGCTTTGACGTCAAGGTCGTCAACGACGATGTTCTCCGCCCCGAGGTCCTCAACCTCGACGTAAGTCGCATCGCACCGCACCCGAACCACTCTGCGCCTTAACTAACTTGCGCAGTGCGGTGCAGACTTCGTCAAGACCAAGCAGCGTGCCCCTGCTTCTCCCAAGCCCGTTCCCGGCGCTCGCTACTGCTCCTTTGACGGTGACGCCGATCGCCTGATCTACTACTACACCGATCCGGACACCGGCTTCTTCATGCTCGACGGCGACCGGATATCCACCTTGGCCGCCTCCTTTATTGGCGATCTGGTCCGCTCCGCCGGCCTAGAGAAGGACTTGCGCACTGGTGTCGTCCAGACCGCTTATGCCAACGGTGCTAGCACCAACTACATTGAGAAGCATCTCGGATTGCCCGTCGTTTGCACGCCCACCGGCGTCAAGCACTTGCACCATGCTGCTCTCAAATTCGACATCGGGCCCTACTTCGAGGCCAACGGCCACGGCACTGTCATCTTCAGCCAAGACGCCATGCGTGCTTTCAGCGAGACAAAGCCCCAGTCCCCCGCACAGAAGGATGCCCTCGAGACCCTCGCCGCCGTTGGCAACCTTATCAACCAGACAGTTGGCGATGCGCTCTCGGATATGTTGATGGTGGAGGTGATTCTCGCTCACAAGGGCTGGACTCTCAAGGACTGGGCTTCAACCTACTCGGACCTTCCCAACCGACTGGTCCGTGTCGAGGTTGGCAACAAAGATGCATTCCAGACCACAGATGCCGAGCGCCGCCTCAGCCATCCTGCGGGAGCTCAGGACGAGATTGATCAGTGTGTTAGAAAGTACACCAGCGCTCGTTCCTTCGCTCGCGCCAGCGGCACCGAAAACGCCTGCCGTGTGTATGCCGAAGCGGCCACCCGGTCCGAGGCTGATGAGCTCGCCAACAAGGTTGCAGGCATCGTGAAGCAGTACGGTGGACTGTAGGCAAGGCCACCTAACTGTCAAAGCAGCTACGATGCACTGTTCATGTAGAGGACAGTTGATGATTGGATTACCTTTCCCCCATTACTTGGACCAAAATTACGGCGGATTTCGTAAAAGCTAGAGCGGACTGGTTACGAGGTGGAAGCTGCCCAAAAAGATGAAACGAACAGAAAACGAGACATTTGATATCCCTAGTCCTTCCCTACTCAAAAAGAAGCGCAGCACATCCCCTTTAGAATTATGAAATGTGACTGAAAAGTGAGCTAAATCACTCCCTAGCTGTCAGTTACCTGCAAGAAGAAGTAAACGAGAACAACGAGAAGAAGCATAGTAAATACAATTTAGATGGCTGGCTGGCCTCATGCAACTCTCCGGGGTCTCCCTGTCCCGGAATGCCCGCTTCGACGATCTGACGTTGATTCTCGCGGCCCGCCTGTTTGGTGTGGCAATCCTCTCCGGCACGTCGGGATTATCTCAATGCACTACCAATCGAATCGATTTCGCTCTCGCCAACGACTCTACCTTGCAAGGCTAGCCATGGAAAGATCATGTCGTGTTACTCACGATAGAATCTAAAGAATGCGTTCCATACAAGTCACATGGAAGCGGATCAAGTTTGTACGATTCAAGTCGTCAATTCTTCTCTATCATACAACAGGCATCCTCGCAACCCTTGACGCTTGCCGGCATCGAACCTTTTTCCATTCTCCCATGGCAAGGCCGCCTTTGTTTTCTTCTCCCTCTGATATTCCTCCTCTTCAATTATTCTGTTTCTTGTTTGTACAATTCTAGCCTCATACCAATTCAACCCAGAGGGACGACCCTTGCAAAAGGACATCCAAGAGCAAACAGGGCAAAAGTAGAAAACATAAACTAGATAACACATTACACAAACACTTCCGTGCTTGCCCGCCCACTAAGTATATATAATAGAGGTATAGAGAGATGTCTGCAGACTGGCGAGACATATATCATGTGCTGTAGCTTTCGGCCGTCAACGGTGCTTTGGTGTAGCACAAAAAAAAAAAAAAAAGAGGGAAGCCCATTCTGTGGAGAATTGTGGCACACTGCCTCATCCCACAGAGATGGTTGTGCTCCGATACCTGCCCAAAACAAAAAATTCAAAAAACGTCGATGTAAGTGATCGATGCGCAATTCGCTTTCCCAATGCATTGTTTGCTCCTTTTCGCAAGAGCCTTCGCAAGAGCCATTGCGGCCACCGTGTTGGTGGCCTAAATATCAAATTTCGAGCGCGTGCGGTGCGACAACTGGAGAATTGTCGAGGGAGTGTCCTGGCCCAGGTGCTCATCCTGAAACAAGGCGCGCCGCATACTGATGACGGGTATAGGAGGCCATGTTATGCCGTGGCACCAACCCCTATCCGAGCCGAGTCGCCTGATTATATCATTGAACTGAGCTGCCGAGTGTCTTGAATCGGTCTTCGAACGCCTTCATTCTCTCCTTTTCCAATTCTTGCTGGATACGTCTGGTCTCACGTCTCGCAGCTTCGCGCTCCTCCTGCAGCGTCAAAACCTCGATTTGAGCAGTACTCATGCGGGCAATGACATCTTGCATCTCAGAGTCGGCAACGGTAAGCGCTGTCTCCAGCTCAACGACCTTGACCCGCAGCCTCTCGATCTGCGTCTCATCTTCGACGGACTGCTTCGGCATGAGACGGGGCGACCGAGGGAACATTGGCGACGGCATCGGGCTGAGACTGGACTTGCGAGGAGAACGAATGCCGCCAGCCCCGGGGGAAGGGCTCATACGGCGCAGCTGAACGCTTTGTGCGTCCTTGAGCTCCTTCAGCTGCTCCTCGTGACGAGCCACACGCTCTTCGGACGAGATCTGAGCAGCTTGCAGTTGCTCCTCCAGATTCTTGAGGCGACTCTGGAGGCGTGTGATGCGGTCGGCGTTGGCCTTGCGGTCGGCATCGCCACGAGCAACGGCTTCTGCGAGGCGCTGGCGGAGCTCAGAGTTCACGAACAGCTGGTTTTGAACTTGGGAGGCGAGTTCCTCAACGCGCTGGGCAGACGTGCGGAGCTCATCAGCAAGAGCGCGCTCGCTCTCGAGATGTGCTACCTCACTGCCGGCCAAGCTTTCCAGTTGGTCTTTGTAAGCCGAAGCCTCTTCCTTCGCGGCATCGCGCTCGAAGACGGCAGACGTCAGGGACTGCTCCAGCCTGTCGAGAGCCAGTCTCGTAGCCTCGTCGCCGACGACCATAGAGCCGCTGCTCTCAAGGTCCTTGATCTTGAGAAGGGAGTCTTTGTAGGCAAGTTGTAGGTCTTGGAAGGCAGCCTCCAAGGATTCCGAAGTGACGGGGACAGACGCAGACTCATAGGTGCTGCCACGAGCCATTGACGGGGGAATGAGAATGTCCTTCTCCTTCAACAGTCCACGGAGTGCAGCGACTTCACCCTCTGCACGATCGAGATCCATCTTAAGGCCGGCGAGGCCCTTCTCCACCTGCCACTTCTGTTCGGCCGCTTCGTCAGCACGGCGACGCAGTACATTGACCTCAACCCTCAGGTTGGAGATGTCCTTGGCGAAGCCAGCTTGTCGTGGAGACGTCACCATCAATCGCTCGCGCTCTACCTCCAAGGTCTTGATCTTCTTTTCATTCTCGCGGTTTTGGAATTCTTGGCGCTCGAGGAGGCTCTTCAGGGCGTTGTGGAGAGCGTCTCTCTGGGCCTCGACGTCTTTCAGGCGCTCTGATAGCTGCTCTCGAGATTCGGTAACGCCAGTCTTAACGGTGTTGGACCTGGTCAATCCCAGGCCTGATGGAGCCTTTTGAAGGATGAATGGCATAGCCGTCACCGAGCTGGAACGGGCAAGGCGAGTCGAGCTGCTGGTCGCACTGCGGGCGCGAGTCTCCGGCTGTGGCGGTGGTCCGGAAGACTTGAGGGCTTTGTTCTCCTGTCTCAGGACTTCCAACTCTTGCTGCATCTTGGATGATTCATAGGTGAGGTTGGCGTACTCGGACGCCTCAGCTTCCAGGCCATCAAGCTTCGACTTTAATTGGGGGACGATCTCGTCGCGAAGGTTGTCTCGCTCATTCGTAGTGCTCTGAAGCTCAACCTTGAGAACGGAGAGAAGGTCTTCAAAGTTGGACTTGACCTGCACTTCCTCTCCAAGTCTGCGGCGCAGATCCTCACATGTGTGCTCCAAGTCTCGGAGGCGGTTGTTGGTGTCCTCATTGTTAATCTGGGCGACGTCCACCTGCGAGGCTTTCTCTGCTAGCTCTTTGATCTGCTGGTCCAGCTCATTTCTTCGTGACCGTTCATCTTGCAGTTTATTGGTCAGCTCCAGGCGCATTGAAGCCTTTTCTTGTTCTGCACGGCGTTGAATCTTCTCAACCTCTTCCTTGCTCTGGTCGTATTCGCTAAACTTGGCAGAGCTATACCCAGAGTCGGAAAAGTAATCGCTAGTCCTCCTGCCGGGGGCTTGTGGGTTATTGATCTCGGACTGGAGTCTGTCGACGAGGTCTTCGAGATCCATTTCGCGCCGAATGGACGATGCCAATTCGGCGCTGATGGCCTTCAGTTCGTCCTCCATCTCTTCGATTTGTAGTGATGGGGCTAGGGAGGAAGGCGGTGGTGTGTATAGGTTCGATTCGCAATATCCAAGCGCGTTTGTCGGTGTCGCATTCCCTTTTCGAGGTTCTGGCAGCAGTGACGGAACTCCGGTTGTGAGAGGGGTGTCATCTGTCAGGGTAGCTCGTCGAGGCGAATTGAGAGGCGATGAGAGAGAGGAGAACTCTGTCGTCGAAGGTGACGGCGAAGAACCCCAGCCGAAGAAGTTGGCTAGCTTGGAAGAGCCTGGTGATTTTGGAAGAGGCTTGTTAATCGAGGGAGTCGGAGTTGATGTAGTAGGCGTGAGTGACTGTCTGAGTTCTATAACTGTGGTGACTGTTTGCGAAGGAATGTCTCGATCCGTGGATAGATTCAGATGGGGAGGAGTAGGTTTGGTAGCGGGTATGGACATGATAGAGTTATCATTAGTGTTGTGACTGTAAATTGACTCGGAATCTTCGTCCGTGTCCTCCTCCTCCTCTTCCTCGATGATCGGCTGAGGAGGTGTCGCTTTCGGTAGCCTCGGAGAAAAGGTTGGGGTGACGTCGGAGGTCAAAAAGGCAGGTTCTGACAGGCCGTCTGAAGGTTTTGTTTGAGGGGATGCAAGGTTGGTGCTTGGGTTGTTTCGTGAAGCAAAGTAAGCCGCGTCGTCTGCCGCGTCGGTAGGTGGGGGTCTGCTTGCAAGAGGTCAAAGTCTGGTTAGCTACTGCAGGTGCTGACAGAGTTGTTTCTTGCCAGGCGAGGGACGACCTGGCAGAGGACCCGGCAAAAGTTGGACGAAGAGGAAAGGCGTTCGGACTCACTGTATGTCAAGCTTCTGGTGAGCGGCTGGTGGCGCGAAGAGAGGGCGAACGTTATTGTCGGAAAACTCATAGAGGGTATGGCTGTCCACAGAGTAGGATCTCGAGAAACGTGTTTCGGGGGCGGCAAAGGCCGAAGGTGACAGTATAGACGGGGTACTGGAACCAGAGCCGGTGCCGTAGCTGGCGGCCAATTGAGAAGCTGTCGAGGAGAGAGGCTTCCGCTTGATTGCCTTGGCGAAGGTAGGCGTCAGGACTTGGACGGGCAAAGTCTGCGATCTGGTACGTCCAGGCGAGGGCGAAGGGGAGGTTGCAGGGCGGTTGGGGTCGCGGTAGGGTGGGCGACCACGGAGGTCATCAGATGAAGCGTTGAGAGTCTCAGGTTTTGAAGGGTCTCCCGTGGCTCTCGGAGGGCGTTCGAGGTGAAGGTTGGGATGAGGTGGGCGAGGGTCGCGGGCCGCCATGATTATGATTAGGGTCGAGATCTGAGCGGCGGTGGCTGTCTCTTTTCATCAGTGTCTTACTCTGGCTTATCTCTGGAGCCAAGTTGCGAGCCAGCAAGAGATGTTCGAGGCCAGGCTCGTTGTCCATTGGGAAAAGGAAGGGCAGAAAGAGGAAATGGAACAGTATTGGGGGATTTTTGGGAGTGCAAATGGTGGAAGAGGCCGCAGGGTGGGATCGCAGATGGCGACTGGCCAAAAAGGGGCCATGCTCGCGCACAGGGACCCTTGGAGATGGTGTGGGGCAGTAGTTGCAGCGTAGCGCTTCTGCTTTGGCGCCATTTCCCGTTTGGGCGCTTGGAGATGGTTCGCCCCAGCAACCCCGGGGCCACTGATATTGGAACCGTACGTGACATCCATGATACGATGGGTGCTGGGGCCGAAACTTGCACTTTTTCTCTTTTTTGAAGTTTGCTGAGCAGAATAGGTCGATCTGGGAGGAGGATCGTGCTGTGATCTTGTGGATAGATGGGTAGGTGGTAGACAGAGGACACAGGGGCCGAGGAAAGGTTCAAGACTTTCAGGTTCCTTTACAGGAGGTGCCAATACGACGTGAGGATCACAAACAGGTAGGTGGGCGTTGTGCGATGCGACTGGCTATTGCACTCTCGATACGCCTTCACCTTGCTACCTAGGTAGATAGAGAGAGTGCTCCCGTGTCGTTTCCGAGGGTTCCCCAATGGCAGTCTAGAACAAAGCATCCAAGCAATCAGCAAATGATGAGAAGATCGAACTTGGTCAAGCGCCCATGTGGACTTGCAGAAGAGGATCCATCCGTCTTTCCCCAAGGCAGGTAAGAAGGTATTACCATGGCTCGTGGAAGGTGGATTGACCAATGGTGGAATGGGAGGCCTTGTTCGCAACATTCAGACACACAGAGGAAACATCCTAGGCGGGTCCAGGAGCAGCAAGGAGCAGCGTTGGTACCTTGCTCTAGCGCCCCTGGCCGGCGGCAGGGGTGAGACAACCGTTTTTTTCGACGAATTCGAACAGGAGCAATTTCAGCCTCCTGCGCTAGACCCGCCCAATCAGGTGAAGCAGTACGTATCCTTTTACTCCTCCATAAGGTACCTTGGTCATACTTCGTGGCATGGAAGGCACCTATACAAGTAGGCTATCGTAAGGTAGTGCGTAGGTACCTTAGTTACGGAGCACTCTTTTCTCCTTCGTCCACTTTCTCTGTCAGCGCCTCGCTCATCTTGTACCCACACGACACCCACGACACCCACTACACGCACGCGCGCACAGTCACCAGTTCCATCACTCTGGTCCGGGACCTGAGCCTGAAGCTCTGTCCACCTCATGTCCTTCCCTTGTCCCTTGTCACTTGTCACTCACTGTCATTCAAGGTTCAGCCATGGCACGGCTGCTAATCGCTTCTTTCCCATGATAACCTCCTTCCTTGCTTCCGTCTGCTCATCCACGGTTTACCCTTCCTTACGGTACCTTACGGATAGCACCCGGCCTCTCACATTCGCACACCGGACGCACCTGTCCCTGCCTATAGCATGCGAATACATACGACGATTTTCCACTATGCATACCCAAAGAGCAGAGCCTCTGCCCTCTGGGAGCCTCCCTTCGTGCCTATGACACCTCCATACTTTCATGATGCATGCATTGTGATGATCAATTCTCACAAACATATCTTCAAGCTGACCTCATCTTACCAATATCATGCAAGCTGCGCATATCCGTCCATGCCCCCATTCAAACATTTCTTCGCACTCCCCGATCATCGATCAATTCTCCCCACTTCGCGGTCACCCGGACTCGACTCGAGTCACTGAACTGCCAAAACACGCTCGACCCGTGTCACTGCCATCGCCATCTTTGACAACAATGCCGACTCGTCTTGTGTTTCGGTCCGCTACCCGACACAACGACAAGAAAGCCAAATCACGACAGCGGTGCCGATGAACTCCCATCCAACTATTAGGGTTCCCGCCTAAAACGCCGGCCAGAGAGACACCAAAGTCAGAACTCAGCCTGCTTGCCGCACACGCGAGGGAACAAACGAAGACCACCTTACTTGGTCTTGGCTCTTTTCCTTCTCTTCTTTTTCTGCCAATGTTTCGTGCGTGTCGTCGAAACGTTGAAACCGTCAGGCTTGCTCCTGCCCAGGACATTCCCCGTCTTCGTCTTGTCAAACCTTCAGCCTCATTTTCGCCTCGCCGCTCAGACTCGACTAACTCTCTTCGCCCTCAAAGAGTTGCAAACGGCCTCGTCCGGTTTCCCGGATCCCACTCAGGGTTACCCTATCTCGAAGGTTCAACCCATTCCTGGTCACTTCTACCACCAGTTGGGGGCAAACACACAGACAAGATCATGCCTCTGCCATCCACTTCATGCTCCAATACCACCAGTTTGGACGCCGATTCCAAACTCTGCATACCCGTCAAAAGTCAACGTCGCCAGCTCGGATCCCTGTCACCTAGCCTAGAATGGCAACTTATGGCTTCTACTGCACAGACGTGCCCACTCTATTCGTTCGAACACATGCTTCAGTCTGCTCGTGCTATTTTACACGATCACTATTCAGATTCTGCCTTCGAACTCGAGCCAGAGAAGAGGGTTGCAACAGCTGCACACTCTGTCCAGCCGCCAGCGAGACCCAGACATGCACTCAAGCTTCCACGGCTTCTGACCAGAATATCGCCGGGTGGGTTCGAAAAGTTCAACTTCAAACCCATCGAACCACACAGCCATGCACGAAACTGATCACGAGAGCGAGACGCCTGCAACTTGGCCCGTGCAATAGTTGCCCTACCATGGGTGATGGAGCTAGCATCGTCTCGCAGATCGTGCAGCTGAGCGACCACCAGTGCCTCTTCCCCTTCAACATCGATGGCAAATAAGCAATTCCCATCTAACTTTGGCGCTATGTACTCTGGCGATTGGTCACCGGGCCACCATATCGTTCCCCAAGATCTGTACAAAGCACCAGATCACACAATGGGATCCCGTAAGGTTGTGGTCCGTGGAGGCGCTGTAATATGCTTTGGCGCCGACAGAGTAATACTCTGTAATTTTCCCCTGGAGCGACTACAGCTGCAATCTCCCCATTGGCCGCCGCTCCAGAGTCGATATTTCTCCAAAATGGACTAGCGCCAGGGACACGCATCTTGATATGTCGAACCCCGGTTCAAAGCGTGTCGAATGAGAACCAAGCTCTCAAAAAATATCTTGCCTTTGTTCTTTCAACTTCGAGATCAGGGGCGCGATCGCTCTCCCCCACAAACTTTCCAGATCTCGGTCACCGAGATACCATGGCCTCTGAGATCTAGAGGAAGCTCTGCCTTTGGTCTCCATCCGCGAAAGCAACTCGGCTTCCTCAAACTATGCCATGGTCTGCGGGCGGAGCACCACGCGACATGAATCGGATTTGACTACGGAGTACCATCCTCCATATAGACGCATTTTCAGGTCGCAGCTATTAGTCTATACGATTGTCTTTGTTTCAAAACATTGACAAAAAAGTAGTCGGAATTACAAGAAATGATACAAGGACGAGCGCTTCCTCACAATCGGTCTCTGCGGATACCTTCATTGACATAATAAACACCGATACGGATAAGGAGCAATGGAAACTAGGTAGCGCGGTCTTTTCCCCAGATGTGTACAAGGCGTGCTTCAACTTCCGAGTCCCCAAGATGACAGCAGGGGTTGTCACGATCTCCAGACTCCAGATGGGTTGCGAAGGATGCGGGCTGCTTAGTTGGTGATCGCCAGTTTACTTTCCCGTCCGGACATCAAAGGCAATGATCAGCGCGGCGATGCCAATAACGTCCGCTGCAACCTACCTTTTCGGGTCGACGGGTAGGAAGATTGACCTCGCACTATAAACACTTGGCTTCTATCCGCAAAGGGAGACATGTCACCCGGCCACGCCCATGTTCGCGGCTATTTCGGGAGTGTACTTCGTACACTGAACACATCCCAGAGACCGCTATCCTAGTCAGCAGGCATCACCACGGCACGTCGAGATACTCATTTCCTTAATCATCAGCCAATATTGATGTGGGCAGCACCGCCTCACTGGGCCTCCAAGCGGGAGCCCGGAGTGGGCTCAAATTGCACCTCGGATGTTCCACCAGATATCTACTAAGACTCCAGGCCAAGTCGTTGACTCTAAATCAGCGAAACAATCAACCCACAAGTTGCCATCCGCCGCGTTTGGCCGGCAATCGTCGACCGTATCCTCGGCCGAGGAGAAGAGTGTTTGAGGCTGAAAATCTTAACCTGCCACGACACCCATTGCTGTCAGCTCCGGTTTGTACGGAGTACGAAGTAGACCACCCTCACAACGGAGAACGGATCTTCAGATTGTGGCATCTTCAACATCTGATCCACACGAGCCGATTCCATGGAAAGGATGGCAATGGAAGCCCGCGCGACTAGGTCCAACAAGACTAGGTGCTCAAAACAACTGTAATATCTTTCGGCCCGGGACAATAAGTGCAATCCGTTCCGGGAATCCGTGGTCGAAGCACATAAATCTCGAGAAACGACGTTCTCCAGCTCGCCTGGGCATACAGTCCTGGTGCATGATACTGTTGCTTATCTCAGATTTTGTGACTGCCACACTGCAACCTTCAGAGCAAGCAGCTCCGGAAAAAAAAAAGCTTCCTGACTTCCACAATAAGATAAGTTGGGAGACACTTCGGAACCCGGAAACGAATTGACGATAGCCTCCTGTTTTGACTGCCTCGCCAATCAAAACCAAAGTGCAGACATCAGGACCGATTAGGTTGGTTAGGCTCCAAAAGGGTACCTTTAGGTTGGCAATCTCTTCGATAATTCTGCCTTGTAAGAGAACTCGGAATTTTGGCTCCGAAACACTCCTCATCTGATGATTTTAGTGACTTTGTACCGTCACCGAAGCTTGAAGAGAAGTCTACGCTGAGCGACTTGCACATTGCGGGGTTCAGCGCTCCACCGAGAAAGACAAGAGAGTTGAATGCGACGTCGTTTCGCAAAGAAAAAGATGTCGCATAGAGAGCAGCCTCGAAACAAAGAGAAGCATCAGCCAAGCCTATGGCGGTGAGATACTCGAGGAGGCGGGCGTCTCATGAGACTAAAGAGAGCGACTGAGTCGAGTAGAAGCCTTGGAGCCACCTCCCATTATTACCATGACGAGGCCATCGACATTCGACTTGGGTAGAGCGAGAAAGGCATAGCTTTGCTGCAGAGTTGGGGTTCGAGTCCATGGCCCCACCTGACAAGCGTTGTTCTGTTCTAAAGATAGTGTCACTACCGCACTGCGGGAACTCAACATCGAACAACTCCTAACCAGGGAGAGCCAGCAACAACTTGATCACGGGGTCTCTATCTCTCTACAGTCTTTTCTAGCGAGGAGCAACAAACGGCCCTCGATGGCGTGGTTTAATGCCGCTACTTTACGAACTGACCAGTCTCACTTGGCGATGCTGCTGACGCTAGTTGCCGAAATGTGGCCGCGATGATAGTTGTCGATGAAAGAGGAAGTCAAGTGGCGGGAGACGCATTAGTCGGCAATTGAACGCACAGCAGTAAGAAACCAAACATGAGGTTTCCGGATTTTTATTCTGTTGCCTGCTGTCAGGGCTTGGTGTTCGGGGCTATTAGGGCTCTGAGGTCGAATACGAGGTTGGCTGCTCGCGTCGTTGCAGACCCTGGGCGGTGGCTAGCGGCCAAAGACGAGACTCTTTTGGCCGAAATAGCCTCAACCACGTCACATTTGCCCGTGTCCGGCATTGCCATGAGACGACTCAGTCTCAGCTGTTGATGATGGCGTTCATCCGTTACTGTATGCTCATCGGCAGCTCTGACAGGAACCGTCAGCTTGCAGGTTGCGAGGAACGCATGGTTGCAAGTCAACCAGGGTCACAACGATTGCAGATCATTCGACCAAATTGTAGCTGGAGGCCTAGACTAACTCATGGAAGGCTCTTCTTGGCTCTTGTATCCCAAGTCATGCACCGTTCTGCTCTGCAATATCTCGTGGGAAGAGGCGGCGCGATCAGGAAGAGCCTTTGAGCATTGCAACAAGTTACTACGACGTGCTTCGTAAGGCTGAGTGTCAAAATGGTAAGAAGACGCCGAGGTGCTTACCACATAGATTACCGTAGGTGACAAGGTGATTATGTGACGCAATGGCTTGGTGGGCAATACCGGGGAGGGGGTTTGAGAGACGCCAGACCTCGTGTCTGCAGACGAGGGTGGATGTGCGGTCTGCGTTCTCGTTCGTCGTCCACCGACCAGGGTCGCCGTATTGGTACTGGCGCCGGACCAAGGCGGTGATGGGCTGTACTTGCTTCGAAGCATTTGCCTATGCAGATAAGCTGCGCGCCTTTGCGCCAGTTGAAGAGGCAAAACCGAAGAGCGAAAAGTACGCTACACTTAGTAGACGGTATCTTGTCTCACCTGGAGTTGTCATGTAAGATGTTTACCCCATTTGGAAAACAGTTTGCACACGGTACGGGAACACTGACTTGTATCTAGGCCGTTGAGGCCGTTACCAGAACTCTTTGAGCCCAATACCGGCCACCACGAAGGAATATGCAGGATAACTCAAATTCATCTGCATATCCCCATCGCCCCAGATCTCGTTTGCTGGTTCCCGGTAACTAGCTGACACACACCACCTGACGAGGTACCCAAATAGCTCCCACCCCTCCCCTTCTGTGCTGGGGTGGGAACTACCTGGGTCGAGGCATCAGGGCAACTCCTCGCGCACACAAACCTCTGTACCGGTCTCTTCCACTGAACTTCTTCTCCTTCTTTTCTCCTTGACAAGTCGGGGGATAGGCCCATCTTCCCGTCCATCTCTACGCACGCTTACTCACGGGCGCCGCTCGATGACTTAACGAGCAAGGCCAGCCCCCCGGATACTAGCGTTGAGAGACAAATGCTTAGCTGAGTCGGGCGGGCAATAATCGTGTCTTCTCGATCCATCGAGGCCATCGAGGAAGGATTCTCTCCGGCTTGTGGCTCTCGTGTGGGAGAAGTGAGCTCGTCGCGAGGTGGGAAGAAAGCCGTATCCCGCCTCCTCCCCCCCCCCATATAAGGAGGGTGGCCGGCGGCGGCCCAGAACTCATCGAGAAAAGAGGCTCCGGATTTCCCTCATCATGTCCAGCAACCAACAGCGGAGCACCGCCCGAACCGAAAAAACCAGACGGGTGATCACCACTGTCCTACCCATTGGAAAACCCAACAACGCGGAAGCCCGTTGCCCGCTGCGGAGTTCCACTCATCCCAAAAGCGGAGAGCCGCAACCGTTCCCGCTACCGCTCCGGACCGGCGACAACTTTCCCGTTCACACCGGAACAGCAAAACTGTAGGGCAAACAGACCGGCTGCTGCTTCTCAAACTGTCAGTGGTCAAACCAAGCCAGGCAAAAGGGGGGAGGACGCTAAGCAACGTTTACGCCAGAGTCATTGTCACTCCACCGTCGTGATCGTGGCTTGCTCGCCAGCAACACTGCACAGCAAACCAGAGAACCGATAAACGAGACAATCAGACGCGAAGCACGTTACATCTCACTGCTCTCTTACACGGCCGAATATACCGCCACGTATTACTCGGCATCACCCGGGGGCCCCCCAACTTACCCTTAAACTTCACACCAAAAAGCCTTACCACACCACCAAGTTCATTCTGTGGGCTGCCGACTGGACCACCATGTCGGGTCAGTCAAGCGCCTCATCGCCCCTTATATCGACCCGGCGCCGCGCCTGTACTGCGTGTCAGCAAGCAAAGCGCCGCTGCGACCAACGGCTCCCCCGGTGCGGCCGGTGCACCCAAAAGGGGTTCGAGGACTGCAACTACCCGTCCCTCGAGGCCGCCGTCGCAGCGGCGGACTTCAACTTCTTCACAGACGTCCTCAGCGGCTCCGCGGGCACGCCGACTGACTCCCTTCACAATATCATGCCCGTTCCCGTCGTCCCCGAGGCGGACAACTCGTGGGCCCTATACTACAGCAACGCCTCGGCAGCGGCCGCGCCGACACCGTCACCTTCCATCATGGCTCCTACCAGCGACTGTCTTTCGCGAGACGCCGTCATGTACTGTAGCGAGCAGTTCCGGGCCTATCCGCGGCGATGGGTGAGCCAGAACGGCGTCGCCCCCTTTATCCACCCGGCGCTCTACCTGCCCACCACGAACGGGGCCGACGGTCTCCCCCCCGTGCTCCAGGACTGCTTCTGCGCGTGCGCTGCGTACGCGGCCAAAAACGACGAGAACGCGGCGCTGGTCCTCGGCGTCGTGGAAGCCAAAGCCACGGCGCTGCTCTACGTCCCTGAACAGGCGGCGTGGACGCTGCCGCAGCAGGTTGCTTCCTTGCAGGCGCTGGTCATGTACCAGATCATGCGGTGGTTCGACGGAGATATCCGCCAGCGCGTGCTCGCGGACTCGGTTGAGCCGTTGTTGGCGACGTGGACTTCGGCACTACAAGCCCGCGTCGGGACTGGTGTCTTTTCGACGGACGAGGCTATGCCGTCGTCGTCGTCGTCTACCGCCATGTCGGACTCGCATCTCCCGCCGCCGCATCAGCAGTCGTCTTCGTCGGCGGGGTCGTACCCGCAGCAACATGATCTCTCGCCGGATCACTCGCGCTCGAATACACCCGGCGCCCGCCTCACAAAGGAGGAGCTCAATGCTGCCTGGCGACGGTGGTTGATGGCGGAGTCGATTCGGCGGGTTCTCGCCATGGCGCATCTCGTTAGGGCGGTATACTCTACAGCGAAACAGGGCGGTGGTAGTGCCGGCGGCGGAGGAGGAGGATACGGCAGCAAACTTGGTGGCGCGGGGGTAACAGCAGGAGGACCCGGGCACACGCAGCAATCACAACAACACCACCACGCCAGCGGCGGCGGTAGTGGTGGTGGTGGAGGTGGCGGCGGCGGCCATCAGCTTCCACATCATCACCACCCTGCCCACCCCATCGGCCTCGCGGACATGAGCTTCACGGCGCAGGCGCGGCTGTGGGCCGCCACGACGGCGGAGCGGTGGAACCGGTCCCGCGAAGGCGATACGGCGTGGTGGGTTGGGCGGATGGACTTTTCGGGCCTGCTGGCGCTCGCGGACCCGAGGGAGGTGGATGAGTTTACCGTCATGATGGGCGTTGTGTTTCGCGGCAAGGATACGATTGAGGATTGGGTTACGCATGGGCCCGGGGGTATGTGAGACTGTATTGTGGTATAGACTGACAGAAGAACAAGAGGACGAAGACGAGTAGACAGAGAACGGAGAATGAGAGGAAGAAAAGGGGTGGGCTTTTTTACATTTTTTACATCGCGAGATAAGCATTGGGGGCGTTTCTAAGGTGGTAAGGGGGTGGGGGGTTGGTCATAAAAAAAAAAGGGGGGGGGGGGGGATCGTTTTTTTTTTTTCACATATAAAACTTCACTCAGCATCTGGCAGCACGGATTCTTTCCACGAGCATAGCGACAGAAGCAACGAAGAGAGAGAGAGAGAGAGAGAGAGAGAGAGAGAGAGAGAAAGAGAGAGGAGAGTAAAGAGTATAGCAGTAAGTATACCTATAGTATCTGGGGGGTGATTTAGTAATCTTCCTCGCCATGTTTTTAATTATTTCTTCAAGAGGAGTAGCATAGCGTTGCTTCATAGATAGAGCTAGATTCTACGAGTATGATAATGAGGCAAAGATTTCTATTCTAGTATGTCGAAGAGAAAAAGGGAGACGGAAGATAGGAGGTAGGCAATATAGCTCAAGAGGATCGAGTAGATAGGTCCTGGGCAAAGACGGAATAGCAAAACCAATCAACTACATTTGACTTTTTCAGCTGTTCATAAAGTTAAGGTACTACCGCCATATTGAGATACTGTTGGAATATTGACGGCAGAAAAGGGGATTTGAAAGATGGTCTGGGCCGTTGCAAACGGCCCTTCCACCTACTTATACCCAACGGAGGAACCGTGGGCTATGCCCATCAACTTCTTCCTTACGTATACATGCACAGTTCAATACCAGATTATTGAGCTTCATACCGGCTCTCAGGCTGCCCTGCTGACGTGTATACTAACAGATATAAATTATATTTATACTGAAGCTTTTCAGACCTTTCACAAATCTGCGTTAGTCATTTGAACGAAAAGACAGCTCTTGCCACCAAAAATTTGCACAGAAAAGACAAATCACACAAAGGGTCAAGTAAAAAGACTTGGGAGGTTCATGTCTGATTCATTAGTCATGATCTATTGTTGCAGGCATTGTGACTGCAAATGCCTTTGGATTCTATGTCATCTCTTTTCCTCCTCTCTCTGTCTGTCCTCATATCCGCACTTTATCGGCGGTGACCTTTTTGTCATTAAGAACCAGAATAGGCAAAAAAAAACCCAAGAGGGTGTGTGATGTGTCGTGAAAGAAGGCCGCGCCGTGCCTCCTTTGCCGGCGCAGGTTACGCAGCCAGGCTAGGACCATCTCCTCTCCAAAAAAAAGACCGGTGGGCGCAAAAAGCAGTGCAGGTTTATCACCCTGGGCCAGAAGCCGGCTTTCTCAGTGATTCCTCGCTGTTAGGATAATCCACTTTCTTGGACGTGCCGGGGTTTAAACTAAACGCTGCGAGGCTTGATGATGGGCCCCTTATTCCAGGGGCAAGCTATCCGAAAAGGTGGTAGCAAGAAGAATTCAGTGCTTAAGCCATAGGCGCTTAGCACATCTTGTACTCGCAGTGGCCCTCAGCGGCACGAGTGGGGTCCTCGGTCAAGAACTTGTAGTCAATCTTGATGTCCAGGTCACGGCGGTTTCTGTCGTTGGGCTTGACATTCAGGGTACCCTCGACCTCCTCGCCGGTCTGCATGGTGATCATGTCCTTGAGGTAGAAAACAGTCTGCTTCCAGTGGGTGTACTTGGTGTGGGGGCCGGTGGAGAAGCGGATGGGCTTGTGGGCAGCGGTGAAATCAATGTCGAACCAGGCAACAAGGGCGTGGATGAAGTCATCGCGGCGGGCGGAGAGCTTGAAGGGGGTGGTGAAAGCAAGGTCGGCAACCTGGCACTTGTAGAGGTCCAGGGTCAGGACAGGCGTGGGGTCAGTAACCACCGCCTTCATCTCGACTGTGTCAACAAGGGGCTCGGCGAGAGCAGTAGACTTGAGGGGGCTGTAGTCAAAGCCGTAGACGTTGTCCCAGACTGTGTTTGTGGTCAGCCTCTCTGTTTGCATCATCCAGCAGAGTTTCGCTGAGACAGCGATTGTTGGTGAAATTGTAACTTACATCCGATCTTCTCGTCCTTGTAGTCGCCATCCTCGATACCAGCAACGAAGATGGTAGCCTTGTCGGGGAAGATGAGACCGTCGGGGTTCAGGTAGCGGTCACGGGCGTAGAGGACGGTGTCCAGCATGGACTCGTAGAGAAGGAAGTAGCCCATCCACTCGGAGATGATGATGTCGACCTTGGGGAAGGGCAGCTCAACCTCCTCCATCTTGCCCTGGATGAGGGTGATCTTGTCGGACAATCCGTTGACGGCAACGATCTCGCGGGCCTTGAAGATAATGGTAGACATGTCGACACCGATAACGTGCTTTGCGCCAGCCTTAGCGGCGAACCTATACAAAACAATACGTCGTTAGCAATCAAAGCTCCATCCGCGGCACAGGGTTGGCAGTATGTTTGAGACAGCCGAGTACGTACATAGACAGAATGGCGGTGCCGCAGCCGACATCGAGGACGACCTTGTCCTTGAAGAGGTGCTTGTTCTGAACAATGGCGTTCATGTAGGAGCGGGTGCGGACCTCGTCCTTCAACATCTCCTCGTGGATGCCGTGGTGGTCGTAGCTGTGCAGGAGCGCAAAAAGTTAGCAATGGTTCTCGGATTTGCGTTGGATAACTCTGCAGCTGTCGTCTTCAGCTTTGCGACATACCTCTTGAAGTAGTGCTGCTCAGAGTGCTCCATACCCTTGAGCTTCTGCTCGGCAGCGTCGACCTCCATGTTGTCGCCTCCCATTTTGATTGTTGGTGTGTATGTAAATTCTTCCTTTTTCGCGACGACTTTTACCGTCGAAGCTATCTGGGTTGAATAAGAAGAAGGGACGAGAAGAAAAACGGATTGGCTTGGGGAGTAATGTGTAGGAAGAATCGCCAAAGACACAGAAAAGGATGAGGAAGGAAGAGAATTTCGGGGTGGGAAAGAAAACACGGGAGAGGTAGGTATTAGTCGCGCGGTGAAGAAGAAGGAAAGGGTCGGCGGGGCAGGCTGGGCACTGGACCGGGGGAGGACTTTCAACACGATCGGGCAGAGTGGCAGAATGGACCTGACAGAGACTGGAGGGGGAGGAGCAACCGGCAAAAAAAAAAAAAAATCAATCCTGATTGCGCCTCACAATGCCCGTCACCGCCTGCACCCTGCATCGGGCTCAGTCTCCATATCCCACTTTCGGCCAGACCACCTGGCAGTGGCACCCAGCCGAAGTTTTTTTTTTTTCTTTCCTTTTTTCCTTCCTTAGTTTTTCCCCCCCACCTTAGCTCTCAAACTGTTGACACTGGCCGACCCTTACTGCCGGCCCGTTCCTCGCCAGCGCACCACATGCTCCGTACACAGTTGATGGCGGGGGGTTTTAAGGCGGGTCCCAGGTATCTTTTCAGTGATTGATTACTTGAGGTGTATCCGTACGTACAGAGTATCCATGCAACGAGGGGCATCATTATCATACTTCAAGTATACCAGTTCAGACCTTCACTTCACAATGACAAACGCAATACGCTACAAGTGTAACTTTAACTGGACTATCATGTAGATTCTTCAAGACTGAAAGGGTCAAAAACACTAGACCAACAATTTCCATCCAACGCCGCGCTATGCCAAGTACTGTTGTTGATGGTATGGGAAAGTGCCTCGGTCCTCAACACCACCTCTCGCGAGGCTCTCTCCATTTAACCCCGAGAATATCAAATATCTTCTTCTCGTCCTGGCCCTCGACGAGCTCACCTTCGGTCAGCTTCGCCCGCCCGGGACCTCTCATGACGTTCTTGTAAAGACCTCTCTGGTTGAGTCGCATTCCCTTCTTCGATGCCAGTAGTCGAATGCTGCGGTTGAAAATATCGTTGCCCGTAAAGTAGATCAGGGCCGCACCAATTTCGGCTTCTGGGACCACTAGGAAATCCACACGTCTCCAGACTTTCCGATACTCTCCGTCGTTGAAGCCTTCGATCTTTGGCAGTACGCAACAGCCGTGCCATTTGCTTCCGTCATCGTCTCTGGATCCTGCGAGTCTTGCAACGAGGAAATTTTGCGCTTCGAGAGACCCAATCAGCTTGTGCAGAAAAGGAATCAGTTCCGATGTTGCCCGAGTCCCTTTCTTCGTAACGATAAAGTCGATATCGCCACTGCTCTCGGCTCCGCGACGATAGCTGCCCCCAACGATGATTTGAACATCAGGATCCAGCTTCGCCGCCTCTGACCTGACTACCGCACTTAGCCACTTCATCTCGGCTCTGGGAATGCGCGTGTTGAGGTCGTCGTAATGATCGATACCAATTCGTTGGTTGGTAGTCAGTTTTGCTCTCTGTTTGAGATCATCGAGCGTTCGGAACCCCTGAGCAATGAAATGGCTGGCTTGTACGCTCCCAACACCATAAATCTTCAGGAATGTCTGCAGAACCTCATCCATCGGATCCAACTCTGCATTTTCCAGTCTTTTGAGGCGATTGGTAGTAACAATCTCCTCAATCTTGTCTGCCAACCTTTGGCCAACACCAGGTAGTCGGATCGCTTCCTCAGCTGTCGAAACCTTGGCGGGCTGCCGTTTGAGCTGTGTTATGGCTTTTCTGTATGCGATGGGCCGCCATGTATCATTGATACGCTCGTAGTAGCTGCACATCTGCTGCAAGATCTCAATCGTGCGGGAGTTGGGGTTGTGTTGGTCGCTGCCCAGAGTGCCTCCTTTATGACACGTGAACTTGTCTTCCCAAGTCATTTCCTTTCGTCCTTTAGTCTTGCCGACAGCTCTCTTCTTTCTTCGAAGTTCATCATCCGAGCCTTCACTACCTGATCCTTGGTCATGAAATTGTGTCGACGTCGCCGGGGCGTCCTCATCGTCGTCATCATGCTCCAGTGGCAGATCTCTAAACTGCTGCAACTGAGAAATGACGTGCCCAAGCTCATCTTGTGATGAAGAAGTTGGCCTTTCTGAGGTGGCTGGGACATCTTCGTAAGATCCGGCATTTTGTTGGAATGCAGTCTCACGTGTAGCTGTTGATTGCACAGCCTCTGTAATATCTTTCAACACCAAAGGTTCTGCAGCTTCGACCGCGTTTCCTGTTGCCCTCCCAGACGACTCCTGACTTCCACACGGAGTCGATGGCGGGAGAATGTAATCCCACTTTTTGGGACTTTTCTGTGGCGTCTTCAACGGTAACTCCTGCAACATGTTTGCCTTTGAAGGCTGAACAACCTGAGAGGTAGTTTGGGGTTCCGCCGAGATTGGCGAGGGTGGTTCAGGGCAGCCGGGTACCTGGTATTGCTTCTGTTTTGCGTTCAGTAGTGTCTTGAACCTGACACAGTCCATCGGGAAATCCTCGTTCAAGACCATGTACGATGACCCCTCGCTTGCCGAACTAAGTACCTTCTCGATGCTCTTCCAGTCAAGGCGCCGGTCGACAATGGCATGTGTCGCATTCTCAAGAGATCGGACCCACTGAGCACCAAATTCTTGCACTTTCCGGATTCGAATCTTCCTGGCCGGCGCGATATCATCGTTTGGAATGAAGAAGAATCGTAACCCACGAAAGATCTGCTGCGCCTCGGGTAGGAGCTTGATGGGCGGCTCTCTCTTTCTTTTCTTCATCGCGGCGATGGAAGGCGAGTTGTCTACACGATGCGGTAAAACGTGTCTCGTGAGAGAGAGCGGTGTGGTAGCGCTTCTGGTAAGACTCGCCAATGGCTGAAGTGGTGGCCGAGTCAAGGTTTCTGGAATAGGCGTGTCTTCGACAAAGCTGAGGTCTCCGGTGGGAGCTTCCTTTCTTCCGGAACCCTTGATCTCGGCGAGAGGAGTCCGCTCGATGATTTCCTTCCGTTTCAGTTCCGTAAGAGGCGCTGATACCGGAGCCGAGGAGGTCCGCCGTGGGCTTACGCGCCGTTGTGGCTGTTGTTGTAATTGCTGGTGAGGAGGAAGGTGCGGCTGCAGTTCCGGTTGTGGTCTTTCCCTAAGTGGCTGGCGAAGTTGCGCCGCAGCTTGAAACGCTTTTAGCTGTTGTCTATTGCGTTTCTCGGCCTCTTGAAAATCGTCGTCGTCATCCTCTTCGTCTTCGCCTTGTCTGCCAATAGATTCAAGCTGGCGGAAGAAGCGCGCTTTGTCTCTGAAGGAAGTGTTTGTATCGGCCATTGTGGTAAATGTTGTCAAAGGGGCGCACGGGATACTTTGAGCTTTTTGTGAACCAAAGTCATGTCGGTGGCGGCACGTCGCTGTTGCCTAGGACTCGTGGAACAATGGCAGCGGAGATGGATGGAAGGTTGAGTGATGCCTGCGTGAAGTTGCGACCTGGAGCGGCACACACACACACACACCAATACGGAATGGGTAGCTTAAAGGTGAGTTGTCATCTGACGACGTTGTGTTAATGGAAGGGATGGGATGTCATTCAAGGACCCATGAATACCTGGAGGTAAGGTTGGAAATGGCCAAATCTGGGTGCCCTGCATGGGGAAGGGTGCCGCATTAGTGCTGTGACCACCTGCAAGTCATCCAATTAAGGCCGCCCTCAGCAGTGAGCACTGACAGTTTCCCCATGTGAGGGACACGACGCGGGAGCCACAGGCCATCCAAGCGGGTTTGACGCCCGCCAGGTTGTAATCGATCGACCCAAGCACCCAACAAGGGGATTCTGCAGCAAAAGCGGCTTGGCCACGGTCAGCAGCACGGGGACCTGCAGGATCTGGTGGGAGCTTCAGGTCATCAGCAATCCTTCCTCCCAGTGTTGCTGTGGTGAATCAAGTTTCCTTCCTACCTCGATTTCACAAGAGTTAACACCCCCCTTCGTCAGACCACGTGGAATTAGTATACTGCAACAAAGAGACTTAGTCTGCCCGCCCGATTTGGCATCATTTGATGCATACAAAAGATCACAGTAGCATTCTTAGCACCGAGCCATTGTTTCGGCTGTCCAGATTGAACCAAAAAAAAAGTATTTGTTTGAAATCCTGGTCTATAGGACGAAAAGAAACAACCCAAATCGTAACGGGTCTGTCTGGCTTTTTATACGTAATTACAAGTACAGACGGTCGAGGGTAGACCGTCTCATTCTTCGCTTCCCATGGTATCACCGTAGCTTTAAATCCAACCAGTATATACAATAACATTTTCCTCGTGTCCTCATTCTCCGAGACATTGGCGTTTCGCTCTGCCGCCGTATCGTACAGCTGTCACTCGGCTCTGCGGCTCGCCTGGCTCGATAATTGCAAGCTAAGGCTTTGCTTAGTTGGACCAGCGACAGTGCCTTGAGCTGATTAGGGTGTCGTTATATACAGCGGGGCCGTGTCGAACTAAGAGCTTGTGCAGGGTAGACTGCCGAGGAAGGACGATGGGTCGTAAGTGTTGTGTGAAACTCGTACTCATCGCGCTTTATTGAGCGTGTCCGAATTGTGAGGGATATTGTTGTGATGACCCGGCAAAGTTGCGGGCGTCCATCAAGGGAATGCTGTTGTTCTTCTCCATCGGCTGGAAAGAAGCCATATCGTTGGAGTAGCGGCTGGCAGCCTCGTTGTCCATGTCGTTGAGCACCTCTCTAGTGAGCTCGACGTAATCGTAGGCGAACTCGCCGATTTCGGCATCGTCGATACCCAGAATCTCTGCCTCTTCAGTGGCACGGAGACGAAGACCGGGAATCATGTTCATAATGAAGAGGATGGTGCAGGTGCCAACAAAGGAGTAAGCGCCACCGCTGAAGGAATCGGCCAATTGGTATCCGAGCTGGATCCAGTTGTGGTTAATCCAGCCTCCGTCAATCTCGGAGACGCCGTCGAGGTGAGCAATGTAATTGGCGGCAAAGAAGGCGGTACAGATGTTGCCCACGAGACCGCCAATGCCGTGGACGGCAAAGATGTCAAGAGCGTCGTCGATTCTGAGGATGAACTTGAGCTTAGTGGCGTAATTGGCGAAGGCTGCACCGAGAATACCGAAGGGAACGGCAGCCCAGACAGGGACGTATCCTATATAAGTTAGCCAATTGAGCCTCGCGTGTCTTTTGGTGCATAATGAACTTACCGGATCCCGGGGTGATGGAGACCAGGCCAGCAACAACACCAGAGCAGAAGCCCACGGTAGACCACTTGCGTTCCAGCCTGTAATCCAACACGCACCAAGTGATTCCACCGACACAGGCAGCCAGGTTTGTGACAACGGCGGCAAGAACAGCGCGAAGGTTGGCAGAGAGAGCCGAGCCAGCGTTGAAACCGAACCAGCCGACCCAAAGGAAGACGGTGCCGATGACAATGTGGGTGACGTTGTGAGGTCGGTAGTTGAGCTCGTGGGTACCGTGACCACGACGCTTGCCCAACATCATCGAGTAGGCGAGGGCGGCTGTGCCAGACGCGATATGCACGGGTGTACCTCCAGCAAAGTCGAGACCGCCCATCTTGTTGGACCATCCACTAGGGTTCCACGTCCAGCAGGCAATCGGGTCATAGATGACGGTCGCCCAGATAAACATGAAGATGACGCAAGGGAGCATGCGGCCACGCTCAGCGACAGCTCCAGTCGCAAGGGCAACGGTGATGCATGAGAACATGCCCTGATAGATGGCGAAGAGAAGATCAGGAAGGCGGCTCGAGCCAACAGAGGGACGACCGAGGACGTCCTTGAATCCGAAATTTGACAGGTCTCCAATAAAAGCACCAGCAGAGTGCGAGAATGTTAGTGAGTAGCCCCAGAAGAACCACTGGAAACTGGTGACAGCCGTCGCCATGACGGAAAGCCAGATGAGAGAAAGTGCTGACTTTCTTCTTGCCAGTCCAGAATAGAAGAAACTACATTGAAAAATGTCAGTTGTCGGGTTCTTAAAAGAGAATAGCTTCGAAGTGTCCGTACCCGACGCCAGGAATCATAAGCAACACCAACGCAGTGGCTGTAATCATCCATCCTATGTCACCAGTCTGTGTCTCTTTGTTAGCATCCGTACTACCGGAACTAGATGTCCGCGGAGAGCGTGTTCAGACATGACATACCTCATACCAAATGTTCAGATCCTCCGTGAGAGAATCTCCTCCTGTGGGACCAGAACCATTGTAGGGTATGAGATGCACATAGTCGAGGTTGTCGAGATCGAGAGAGGATGCCATCGTGACGGAATTGTTGTCGCTATCTTATCGCCGAGTCGGCAATTGGGGGGGGGGCCTGGGCCTGGGCGTAATCGTAGTCGTAGACGTGTATCGAGAGCAACACTTCACCAGAAATTTGCCAGTTGCAGTCGACGGTCGGCGGTTGACGTATTAAGAAGCCTATCCGGCTGGCTCTCGTATGAGCGAAGCCTCGAAAATGAGCGCAAAGGGCCGTCGCGGGGTGATCGGAAAGGACAGCAGTGAGTGAGACGACGAAACGAAGCAGTCAAAACGGGCGTGGGATGCGCGAAGCTTATGAATGTGGATGCCCCGGCGCCCCGACAGTCTGCGCAGAGTTGCGTTGCGGGCGGCATGGCGACTAGCCCTGCTTGTGGCGGGCAAGCTAAACGGGTACGGCAGGACTCGCCCGACGCGGCCAAAAAAGCCCATGGTCCAGAGACTCAACGAGTGCGAGACTGGGAGAGAGGCCACAGGCTGCGGCTTGGGACTTCTGGGCTATCCCACGCAGACAGGCCCTGTCCGCCCTGGGCCAAGACCGCCGGCAATGGACTAGGGGGGGTGGCCAGAGTTTTTCTCGGGGGTGAGGTGAGAGTGGTGTGTGTGGGAGGTCGTGGGAAGCCCTGCGAGAATGAAGCAGGGTTCCAACCAGGGCAAGCCGCGAATAAGGCCAATCGGTACAACTTGGGGTGTGCACTAGGGGGCGAGGCACGGGGGTGGACTCGTGGAGGCTTTGTCGGTTGCGACGCAGGTCCATGGATAGTATCCGTATTCTGCAAGTTTGTATCCGTAGGTTGGTTCTTTTCCTCTTCTGTTGCTGTGGGCATGTACAGATACGGATGCTTCCTGTACGGATATTTCGAATCGTTTCTCCCGATTCCCTGTGAAGCAAGCCAAGTAAGGTAGTCGACGAGCAACCTGAAGCAACGGGGTCGTAGCAATCGTGCATGTCCAACGCAGAATTGCAGGCTGGGAAAAGCAATAACATGGTGAGCACTGAGCAGGAACAAGAGAAATGGGTAATAAGAAACGCCTTGGTAAGCAATTGGGGTCAAGCCAAGGTAGCATCCAGAGACCAGAAGGCTTGGATTCGATAAGACCCGACGACTTCAAGACACAACGGCTTCGATACCACGGGGGACCGGCCACCCGTTTTCGGCCTGGCGTCGTCTACTCCATACGTCCGTCCGTCTTCACTTCCAGACCGGATCATTGCTGACTTGTCAGACTTGTCATCAGACGACGACGAGGCTTTTCCTGCGTTCTGTGTCTGTGATATTGATTAGTGCTTCAAGGTTCGTCAAATAGTCGGTCTCAAAGTCATCTCTTCCCGTACGCTTGGATGAAAGTCGCGATCGAGAAATGCATGTGCTTCCAATTCATTAATCTGACCACGCCCTTCCCCATGCCCCTGTCCAGCCCAGCCAGGGTCGAAATCGCCGTAGTTTGGTTATTGGTGGGGGATGGATGGGGGAAGAGAATCCGCAGAACCACAGGCCGTTGTTATCAAAGCAAGGGTCTAGTCGTAGCGTACCTTCAGATAACAGCCACGATTATTACTGCGCTCTATTAACGCAGCCGCCCATCGCTGCAACGTGTACCGTGCATCCGTAGTTTTTCTCTCCTTTCAGAAGGTCTTCTGTCGTCTGCGCAAATTGTTTGGGCCAATGCCGGCTCGACCGTGTACGGTACGGATGGATACCACTTGGCATCCTAATCATCCTGTAGTCGTACCGACACAGCCATAACAAGACCCCTCGCTCGCTGTACCAGTGTTTCTTCCGAACACACGAGACGTTCTGGTCTGAACTTTGCAGATTGCTGTTTCTCTTCGAACCTTTGAATGACCGAACATGCCGTAGAAGGAGCCCCTGGCCTATACAGCACTGACGTCCAGCTACTGGACGCCTCATCAAACGCGGTCGGGGCAGGTTCCGACGCTGTGCTTGCAGTTGCCGGCAGCTCATTGTTTCGCACATCACGGGCTCGGCGGATGATCATTCAGAGAGACCATCAGCATCCATGGCCCGTCATGTTGAATCGGCCAACCGGCAGGTCCCCAAGGGCAGGAGGCGGCGTAGCAAACCCAGCAGGGCGACGTGCGTGAACGTGCGTGACACCGCTGATGCTCATACTAAGCAGGAGGATCGAAAGGGCAGAGCAACGCGTTGTAGCGGCCGCAAGGCATGTAAGACGCGGCCAGGAACAGCCGTCTACGGCCCGCGAGCAGCGGATGAACACTCCGTTTGCGGGCAACTACGATGATGACTTGCGGCGGCGTACTGTCGCACAGAGCGAGAAATGGGCGTAAAGGTCTTGGTGCAGCGGCCGCTATGGCCACACAAAATGAAAAGGCCGTGGAAAAAGGGATAAATTCGGATGTTTTTTCTTGGTTGGTCTCTTTCTTTTCGGAAGAAAACTTAAGGGAAGGGATGCTGGCGACCGGGTCTCAGTTGAAAGTCTTGGCCAAACGCCCGCGAGAGCTTAACGTTTTCTCGCAAGAAGAGAGAATAGGCTTTAGGCGGTGCTTAGTAAGTGTAGGTGTCCATGGACCAACCGTGGCCGTAGCGTGTCGTGTGTTGCCCGTTGCCCGTTGTTTGAGACGAAGAAGGGTATAGTAGCCGTCATCTCATGTCTCACTGAAACGGAGGGGATTTGAGCTGATGATTTCCTGCGGCAAGGCGGGAACTCAAAGTCTGTCCCTCATGCGACGCTGGAGTCGTGAATAGACGGAGACTGAGAGGTTGACTTTTGACCGAGTTAGATCTTTTAGCCATTTCATCAGGTCATGATTATGAATACCTTACATTACGTCTGCACAGTAGTGTTAGAAAGATAGATCGTGGAGAAATGACAAGTCTTGGCCTTGTTTTCCCACCTCGGTGATGGTAGGTGATATTCGGACAAGTTTGGGCTGCAAAGTGAAAGTGTAAATTGCGGCCAACGTACCTGCCGTGTGGCGTGCCTGCAGTGTGTGTGAGTGAAGTGCCTGCGTGCCTGCCCCTAGTTCTCAACATCGACATCAACGGGAGCAAGAGGTGCAGCGTGCTCCTTCCCATCTACCTCTGATGGTGATATCAAACACCTAACGCCAAATTGGGAAAGCGAACAGGGATGACAGGCAGTCCCGCCGCTACCATCCTGATGGGAGACCGACAGGCCAGGAGCTGCCCGAGGGAGGCAGCAGATGGCAAGGGCCCGACAGATCAAAGGCAAGGGGACCGGCCGAAGAGGCCGAGTAACCACATTTTGTCATGATAAGCTATTCGCCTATGATTGGTCGATAGAGCCCCGGTCAGAGAAAATGGCAGCCCCGGCCAGGGCCAACTTGCCAAGCATTGCTACTGTGCAGTGCTGTGCTACGAATGGCAGTAGCGATGCCAGGTGGGGGCGAGGTCTGCATTTCTAACCTTCTTTGCTTTTTCTGAACCCCTGCCGTCAATCTCAATCCCATCATCCAGTCCATCCTCCTTGTCCACCTCTCCTGGTTACTTGTCAGTGGTCAGTCATCTACGACTCCACGCAACTTCAATACCTCACCTCCTATCACCGACGCCAGCCTATGGGATGCCTATGTGGCCTTCATCATGTCCCTGTCACTAATTCCATAGCCCCTCGAACCTCTAGCCGTCCGTCCAATTCCATTGAATGGCACAGTATTGTCCTTGCCAATTTGCCTCTGTTTGTTGTCGAAGCTATCATGGAACCAACAACAAACTGACTTCATATCAATCCCATCATCCTCGCTTGGCAGCCAGGTCAAATGTACAGTCGTACACGCAGAACGGCTACGGGTACGGATCCTCTGCCTGATACTGCACTGGGTGTAGCTTTTCTTGATACAGAAATGCGCCGAAGCCCACACCCCGTGTCGGAAACTTGGTACGGAGTACCTACATACTTCCATCTTTCCATATCACCATTGCTTCATCTCGGCCTGCAGGGGCTGTCAGGTCGCCTTACAACCTGTCCCACATAGAATGGCGTATCATCGGCTGCACCAAGCCTCCCGGCCGTTCGTTTATTAACTTCCGTCGACCGAAACTACGTGGACTACTGTCTGTTCGCACACCTTCTTCGCCTTCCAGAACCGGTACCTCGATCGGCTTTGCATTCTCTATACGGCAAGCACTTTGCAACACGACCAACTAGTCTTGTCTTTTATCTGGTAGGTTCACTGTTAGCTGGACTGCTAAGGCATAGAAATGGAGTTCGAGAAGCATCAGCTCAGAGACCGTGCTCAAATCGAGCTACCTTATCCCCCACGGCGGCCCACTGTCCACGTCTGTCTTCTCACCAAGAGACGGCGCTCACACAGCCTACCGCCAGGGTTTGGCCCGCGGTTCCAGCCCAGATCAAATTGATCAATTCTTCTCGTCATACAATCAGTGACCAGGATATCTATCTCCCCGGATTAAAGGGGTTCCAATACTACCCCCAGGAACCACCTCCGGCCAACTCGTCACGTCATTCGACCAAAGGTCTTGATCCGCACCAGGAAATCATGATGAGCTCCGCCTACCAAGTGCTTGGCCTAGTCCCTCACACCCTCTATGCCTCCTGCAGGGCGTGGGCGTGTGAATCCGTACCTTGATGAAACTAGTGCTTGATAATCTTGTCAGCAATGATATTACCAACAGGGCTTTGCGCCCCCATGCGCAGACACGCAGTACACATGTCTTTGCTCGGAGACGACCGTTGAGCGTGGGCGTGGGCGTGATAGCTGTCAAGATTTCGACAACACACAGACTTTGATGATAGCTCGGGTTTCTTCGCCGGGGACAACCCAGAGCACACAGACAGTTCTCAATCTCTAGAGCAAGCAAACCGCTTCACCGTCCATGGCCAAACTAAGGCAATGTCTAGGGATGTTGGGGAGGTTCAACGGCATCGACGGTGATTGGATTACGAGTTGCTGACTGGCCAGGAGGTGAAATGAAGTCACACGCGTTGCAGATGCGGAAGCTAAGCTCTGTAACACTCGAGTCTTGCTCCAAAAGGAAGCTCCTTTTCGCCATACCCTGCGCTCGCAACTTGCTAGCCACAGCGGTAGTCGCTGTTCGCTCCACAACTTCCGCTGCTATCCTCGGTCTTCATGGCCTCACTCCATGCATGTCCTGATCTCAAGGGGAACAGCACCATCCTGACCCGGAGGGTGCCAGCCGGTCGTCTCCACGATGAGCCGCCCTACATACAGGCCACCGCGAGCACCATCCTTGGCACCAGTCCTGCCCCCCCCCCCAGGCGTAGCGTATCTCATGGAATCATGGGTGGAACATCCGTACGCAGCTCGGTTTCCAGTTTATCGAAAGCTAACGGAACACGGATATTGGACAGTTCTCAGGGTTGCGTCTGCCCCGGTCCTGGCATCAATCATATTCGCAACCAACATCGGATCTGGAACTCTTCACCGCGGTGAAGCATGAGGAGCAATCTCGCCTACGCATCCAGCCAGCCGGTTCCTTTATGGAGGCATGAGCCAGGAGGACTTGCTTGCTCGAGTGATGTTGAGATGGAAAGTCCGAGGTCCGTCGGCGGCTTGCCTAGCCCGAGGAGTTGTCAACCCGTCAAGGCTCATGGGGGCTTGGGGGCTGGCTCTCTTAGCCACGAATAACGCGGCATAGCCTCGAGAGTTTGCGAGGATATTGTGTTTGGGGTGACTGAAGTGCCTCTCAAAACAAGGCAGACATTTAAACGTCCCTGAACGCACATCTATCGCCAAGAGGGAACCCATCGGATCTCCCCAAGGGCAGTGCCGAACAACTCGGTCAGGGATGACGGGGGGGTAACAGTTTTGACCGACGATGGTTGTTTCATGGGGTTGTGCTCGAAGCCGACTTCGAACTGATATCTCTAGCTCCTCCTTTCCTTCTCCTACCTCCGGCAATTCAGGCTTCAGATCAACGCATCTCCTGTGCCTGGCTTCTGAAGCAAGTCCTCTCTATCTCTCTAGATAATGATTCGGCTGTGGCGGATGGAGCATTTGAACCGATCCCAGTGATCGCCTTGGCTGATCCAGGACGTCGTGCCTTCCTGACAATCAATGGTAGTAAGTGAGGTTTTGTAGGTTTTGTGCAGACTCGTTCTCCTGTTTGCTTTTACATCGCTATCATATTGATGCTTGTCCCTTAGAGTATACAAGACGCACTCTCAATAGCTCGACAAACGAAGACCAAGACAGGCTTGAGAAGAGTAATGGAAAGAAATCGAACGTTGACCTGTCCACTAGCGGGTGAGATGGCATGACCTTGATGGTGAAAGTGAAGAGATGGTAAGGTGACTAGTACTACTGGCTACATTGCTTGGCAGATATTCCTTTTCTCTTGTCTACTGCGTACGAAGGGCAGTCGGCAATCTCACAACATCGCACCATCACAAATATCTTTGAGCTTCTGTCACAGGCTTCGCAGAGTTCATTGTAGATACACCGTCGAGGAATGAAGAGTTAAAAAAAAGCCGTGGCAATCGGGGCCAATTTAGGTAGCTTGATGTGACATCTCGCATCCTGGACGACGGCTGTTATCACTTTATCTCTATTATTTCTCCTCTCTTTTCTCCAATACATCCTACTGAAACCTTTCTGTGACCAAAGTCATCCCAAGCGATTTTGACACCCAGAGTCAATCCCAACTACTCAACTAGCTAATCAGAGACCCCCTGGGCAAGAGTCCCCAGTGACCGCCGCAAGAACACTTCCTCTGCTGCGCCAACACAAACGTGAAGCCCGGCCGCGAGCCAAAGACGTCCTCCATGACGGCCGAGCACCGCACGCAACGCCTCCACTGCGCCGTCTTGGCATCTTCGGCCTCCTTGCCGCCGCCGTTGCTACCACTACCACCGCTGGCACGAGCAGAAGTAGGCGGCGGACCGACGAGCTCTACGCGCTTAAAGACGTCAATGAAGCGGCTCTTGGCTTTGCGCGCCGCCAGCGTCCGGCGATCGTCGTCCACCTCGAGCAAATCATAGTCCGCAAAGAAGAGCTTGGACGGATCGGCCAGGCCGCGGTAGGCCCTGAGATCCGTGTTGAAGAACTTGAGCAGCACGCCGAGGAAGGCGGGCGGGGGCGACGACGCGAGGAGCATGTTGAGCTCGCATTGTACCTGGGCATTCTTGATCTGCGCGTCGACAGCCTTTTGCCCGCCCGCGCCGCCGCCGGGCGGGTTCTTGCTCGCGAGGGACGCGAGGGAGGTCTGGTAGGCGGTGCGGATGTCGTTGTTGAGGACGGTTAGGAGGCGGTCGAATTCCTGCACTTTGATGAGGCTGCTCGAGGTGACGCGCTGCATCTTCTGGTAGGCCTTGTAGAGGACGACGTGGAGGCCTTTGGCCTGCGACGACGGGTCCGTGGCGTTTTGCATAGCGGCACGGCGCTCGTAGAACTCGATGGCGCGGTTCGAGAGGATCTCGAGGTGCAGGATGCGGCGGCAGACGGCGGAGAGGAAGCCGCGGGTGGAGGAGCACAGGAGGAGGTGGAGGGAGACGTCGGAGCGGGATTGCAGGTAGGTGCTCATCTCGGAGAAGTGCTGCGGGGTGAGGAGGGCGAGGAACTGCGGGTCGTCGAGAAGGGCGAAGAGCGAGTCGGTGAGCCAGGCGAGCAGGTCGAGGGACCACTTTGCGCAGCCGGCGAGGGCGTCGACGACTTCGTGCTCGTCGAGCGGGCTGAGCTTCTCGCGGATGTTGACCGGAGTGTTGCTCGCGATCGTAATGAGGATGACGACGTTGCGGGCGTTGAGGGCCAGCATGGCGAACTTGCCGCCAAAGGTCCGGGGCTGGAACATGCCCTTGTATCCGAGGTGGTTGAGGATGCTGAGACACATCTGCAGCGAACTGTTCCGTACGAGACTGTCGTGGTGGGTATCTTCTGAGTAGTCTACGGGGACCTTGAGCATCCGCACGATCTCGTTGATCCAGTCAAATGTGAAGCCTGCAAAAGTCAGCGAGGGGCAGTAAATGAGGACGGGAACGACGCACGCTTCTTGTCCGCAAAAGGTCGAGCGACGGCAAGTATGTCGTCGTAGTTGATGTTGTTGAATGTCGCCGTCGACGCCGCTACAGTCAAAGCTGCCAAGGTGGCAGCATACGGCGCTACATATCATTAGCTAAGGATAGGAGACTCTGGGAGGGGCCGGAGCAAATACCATCTTGGTTGGAGTTTCCTATGTCTCCTAGAGGATGATGGAGTCTACTCCACTTGACCTTGCCATCGTCTTGAATCTTGACCACGGAACAGTTGGTAGGAGAGAAGGCCATTTGTAAACCTAGAGCATCTTGTCAGCTACATGTATCAGACGGATTGCCTTCCTTGGACTTACATGGCGAATCATCCTGCAAGGTGAACCCCACTTGGTTCAACGTCATGACTCTGTCGAGATTCATTTCGTTGTAGACTTCCTGTAGAGTATACCTATCGCGATATTCCACTGATCCATCACTGAAGGCCAAGCAGACGACGTTGCCGTACTGGATAGTATGAAGACCAACAACGGCCTTGTTGATGATTACGGGGTCGCACTTTTTAAGTCGACAGGTGGGCTTCAAAGACGTCAGAGCAGAATAGAGCTTATCGGGACCAAGTAACTTACAGCTGGAGCAGTTCCTGTACTGTTCCTGCGACTTCCAAGCTGTTCAAAGGCAGGATGGAGGCTTTGAGGCTGTTCATTGGAAACCTCCCACTTATCGATGATACTCTGTGTTTCCTGATACGGAGTATTGGGTGTTGGCACGTAGGTACGAACTGCGAGGACGACGAGAGGAGCTCCCTGGCCATTTGGATCCATGACCGACGGTAAAATCTCTAGGTGTGTCAGTTGGGTCGCTGCTGAGTCTACCGGTGTTGTGGATGGACCGCTGGGTAACCAGCTAGAGATAGCAACGTGCTTCTCGTGCAAGGTAGGGTTGAGAGCTTGGCTGCCCGGCGGCGGCTTGGTATCGGATTGAGATTGTGGCAGTCCCCAGTGAATGCCAACTTTCACTAGACGTAGCTGCTTGTTGGTGGTGGCCAAGGCAACCCATAGGTACCCTACTTTTGTGTTAGTTCAATCTCAAGATAACGACAGGCTTTACTACTTGCCCTTGTCACTATGGAGTGCGGCATGTGTGATCAAGTCATCTGATGAGTTGACGCTCTCGAGCTCAAGTGAGGTTTCTTCGATCTTGTTGTTGTTCTGGGCCCAGAACATCTTCAGATGTCCGTTTGTCGTCACACACAACAGAGCACTCTTCGACGGATTCGGGTGCCATGGGCCCCCGGCACGTACAAATGAGCTCTCGTATTTGTACTGAGTCTTATCTTTTATAGCTGGTCCATGGCTCACCCAATACTGATCAGTCAGCTAGGTGGAATCATCTTGAGGAGGGCTTCATGCTCACCTGTTTGCTTTGAGGAGCAAGGGGCAGCCAGTAGCTTCCGACAATGGCGTGGAGGTCGTCGGAAGGGTCATGGTCCCATTTTCGTGTTGCAAAGGGTCGGTTCAGAGTGATGGAATACGTTAGGATAGCAACTCGACCAGTCGCGTCGATGACGGCTAGTTCAGGGCTCGTTGTTGAGGCCCAGGCGAGGTGTATTATGGGGCTGGAAGGATTGATGCTGATGAGATCAACCTTTGTGGGCTCACTGAGACCCCAGTCGCCATTGTCGGGATGAGACCGTAGAAACCTGGCTTCCAGCGTCTTCCCATCTGGTGAAACGGAGGCTATTGCGCCGGATCTGGACCATGCCACTCCCCTACAAGAATTGTGAGATCTGGGATACATTGTGTATGATTGTGGGATGGTTCTCACTGGCAACAGCCGCGGGTTCGCAGCTCATCGATCCTTTGGCGCAGTTGTCTTGTTGGAGGCCGGGCCGCGTGAAGAGACAGGCCGCCGACGCCGTCGCCAAAGAGGTCGTCGACGTCGAGCTGGTCGACCTGCATGGGCCCGTTCATGCCGTTCTCGAGCATAAGTGGCATCTTCGCTTCGTTCATGTGTGAGTGTTGGTTCCGAGATGTCGGACCTGCGCGCAAACAGCACTCAGGGCGTCAGCCACGGAGATAGGGCGAGGCTGGAGAGGTAGTTCAAGAGGGATCAAGAGGCGGGCAATAGCTCATCTTGAGAACCACAGCGAGCAGAATTTGCCGTTACACACAGTAGCTAACATGCGAGCCCTTCAGCAGGTTTTAAGAACTACAAATTGCCGTGGTGCTGCCCTGATGACTTGGTATAACGGAAAGTACCCTATGTGTGGCTGATAGGAGACTGGAGCAAAACGCATGCAGTCATCCGTAGGTTGATAATTAGTTGATCGTTGTAAATGTAAGGTAAGTGGACCGCGGCTCTGGAGGTGTGAACTTGGGCCAATGAAGTACAGAGACGAAATCCGCCCGGCCACACCTTGCCTCAGCCTCAAGTTCACCTCACGCACGCGAACGCGAGGTGAGGTAAGAAGGAGTGGAGAAGCCTCCCCTAGTGCGCTAGTCCAAGTTAGGTCCGTACAAACTTGCTCTACGGATAAGGCAGGAACCCTGGGAGTGAAACCGGTGCTTGTGGCTGGTGAGGTGTGGCTGGTAGACAGACCCCAAGTGCAGGTCGCACCCCAATGTTGAACGTTGTGGGGAAGTTGGAACCCGTGACGTCCGTCCAATGATCCCTGCGGTGTTAGCCTTTAGGAGGGCCGGGCCCCTCTTCGATCGTGACAGGGGGTCAAAGGACGGGCAGACGTGGACAAGCGGACAGGGCAGACGAGGTCAGTGTTCCCGGGCAACGGGCGTCCACCCCCGTCCGGCTCGTCCGCCCTGTGGGTGCAGATGCAGTGGTGTCGTGTTCTTGTCACTTTTTGGCCCCCCGCGACTCGGCCGCGTTTCAGCCGACCGCCTTGCACGCCGAACGTGTTGTGTCTCTACGGACGGTGGCCGCGATAGGATGAAAACACAAGAGCATTGTCCGCTCGAGTATGTGCCCAACGTACGGTAGGCATTTTGCATTGGGGCACCAATCGGTGATAGAAGCTTGCTTTCATCTTAAACTCAACGGGCCTGTTGTCAATATTGAATTTTCGTTCGCTTGCCTGGGTCTCGGACATCTGCAAAATGACGTCGGTTTCGCCAACTCTGTTCGGGAGGCGAAATGAGAAGTATCACCGGCCACTTACCCGTTGTTCGTGGAAGTGAATATTCAATCGCTGCAGCAAATAGTGCTGGGGTGTAAAACCTCCATCGCTGTCGCGGGAGATATTCCGGCTACCTGCGCGAAGCTGTGAGTGGAATGAGGTAAGGTATCTTGCGTTGCATCTGTGTAAGGCAGGCACGAGCAGGTAGGGTGCTGCAGCTCACCGCTGGATCGGCAGGCCACTTGTACCCGTCTACCATAGACAACCGCCGTAAGCTTATTCCAATCGAATCCCGCATATTGTCTCGAATGTTGGCGACAAACGACCAAAAACAATCAGAACAAGCAGTGGAATGGTGATTAACTGGAACAAGGTTTTGTGAAGCGTAGCCTGAATTCAGTAGAGGTCAGTGGGTGAACACTGCCCGAGGAATGCCTCTCTGAACAAAGCTCGTTCTGCGGGATAAAGCAACAAAGTAAGAGACACCAGCCGAGTCCTTTTTCTCTGAACAGCGAGGAGCAAACAGCGGGGTTGACCGCCGTCATCCTCGTCATGCCCAAAGGACAAGAAAGGAGACGGGCGGGCAGGGGAGCATGGCGCTTCCTTTTGTGTTTTCTTCATCTAGTATCGTTCCCTCGACTTTGTCACAATACACTACAGGTACTGACGCCAATGCCAGTATTTCAGAGGAAATTTCCCAAGGGCCCTTGAAAACGAGGAAGACGCGCTAGATGGAACAGAGGGCAAAAGATTGTATCATCCATGCTCCTCTTCATTTTTTGCCCATCCGCATGACAAAGTGAGTGGAATAAGAGGGGAACGAACAACAACACCAAGAGGGGGTGGAGGAGGAGGCCGGAGGGAGGCCGGTGTGCATGGGCCACTTTCATGTACCTCAAGGGCAAGTAAATGCGGAAAGATACATGGAGTGGAGTAATTGTTAGGAGTAATAACTCTTCGGGATCAGGAGCAGGAGCAGAAGCAGCAGATGCCAGACGGGAGCGAAATGCTCACCCAATTCCCGTCGACTTTTCGACCGGACCCAATGGGAAATTAAGCGACTCTTTGGAGGCCGGAACCAAAACAGAAGGAAGCGCGTGCGCACCGAACCCAGACTTCACCGGCAGCAAAGCACTAGCCACCGCACCGTTCCTTACACCTTCTGCCTCCCGTACCCGTGTGCCCGTCCGTCTCCCTCCTTTTCGTGCCCTCTTCTCTTTCTCTTCCCCGTTTCGTCGGGTCTCTCACCTTCCCTTACCTTAAAGTACCTTAGGTTATACCGTAATTACATAGATGCCAGCCCACCCGCCCGTACTTCGTACCCTTCTGCCGCGCCGGCCCTGACTGGGTCCTCTGATCTGCTGCTACCGCTGTTCGGCCTTTTCCTGACCTGTGTTGACGGCACTTTAGGCCCAGCTCTGGTCCCGCCTCTCGCTTGACTGTGTTCCAAGTCACGTCCGCTCCCCTCTCTTCTCCCATTCCCCCCCCCGGTGCCCCCTTCTCCCTCCGCGCCCCATCCATGTACGTTTGCTTGCAGCCGCTACGGCTATGTACTTGTTAAGGTACCCTCGCCCGTCCGCTCTCCACACTTTGTCTTTCTTCAACGACACTTCTTCTCACTTTCCCGACAACAACGAAAACCCTTTCAATCCACTACCGGAGAAAGAAGCCCACACTCCTGGAAATCATTGAACAATGGATATGGTATAGAACACGCTGCCCATGTTCCCGCAAATCTTGTCCCGCATCTTTTCTTCTTTCTCCCCTCCGTCCCCGACCACCACCGACGACAACGACGACATCAAAATGGACGCAACCCCTTCCTCCTCAGCCATGGACGTCGACGTGCATCAACAGCCCTCGTCTCCCTCAGATTCGACTCTTTCTTCCCCTCTTTCCATACTGTCAAAATCACCCTCAATACCCTCATCGCCAGAAGTCGCTGTCGACGCGTCAAAACGATACCCGTCGCCCACCTCCTCAATGCCTTCAGGCGCTCAGTCACCAATCAAGCTCGAGGCGGCCGACGACTCCGTACCCGCCATCAAGCTTGACAACGCTGCCGACTCCATCAACGTGAACGCCAGCGAAGCTACTGATGGCCAGCCTCCCCGAAAGCGACGCAAAGTCACACCTCCCAAGGAGCGCATCACAGAGTACCTGAATCTGGACGAATGCAAAGAAGACGACGGAAACTTGGCGCGTCTAGTCTCCGCTCTCAAGAAACGGAAGAAGATTGTCGTCATCGCAGGCGCTGGAATTTCTGTTTCGGCCGGCATACCCGACTTCCGATCCAAGACTGGACTTTTTGCGACACTGCCCAATGAGCACAAAGTCAAAGGCTCGGGCAAGCACCTGTTCGACGCCTCGGTCTATAAGCATGACTCCTCTACCGAAAAATTTCACAAGATGATTTGCGACCTGGCCACAATGGTCAAGGCCGCCAAGCCCACTGACTTCCACCACCTGTTAGCGTCGCTCGCCGCCGAAAACCGTCTCCTCCGCCTCTACAGCCAGAACGTCGACTGTATTGACACAAACATGGAGCCCTTGAAGACGAATGTCCCTCTCAACGTCAAGGGTCCTTGGCCCAAAACTATCCAGCTGCACGGAAGCGTTGACCACATGGTCTGCTCAAAGTGCAGTGACATCAAGGCTATAGAAACAGAGCTTTTCGTGGGCCACGAGGCTCCACTGTGCAAAACCTGCGAGGACCTCGACATGGTCCGCACGCAGTATGGTCAGAGACGAAGTCACGGTATCGGCCGCCTGCGTCCTAGGATGGTGCTTTACAACGAGTTCAACCCGGACGAAGAAGCCATTGGTAAAGTGTCGAGTGTGGACTTGAAGTCGCGTCCTGACGCGGTCATTGTTGTTGGCACCAGTCTCAAAATCCCAGGCGTGCGGAGGCTCGTGAAGGAGCTGTGTCAGGTCACGCGCAGTCGCAGAGACGGATTTACTGCATGGATCAACACGGACTCGGAACCACAACACAACGACTTCAAAGACTGTTGGGACCTTGTCGTTCGCGGCAAGTGCGACGACGTGGCTCACTGGGCTGCACTGCCCCGATTTGATGTGCCTCATGGCGACCAAACGGCCTACCTCAGCGAGGGAGAGGAGCAGAGGCGCCAGGATAGACTTAGCAGGGATAATCTCGAGGTGCAGCTCATTTCGCCTACGCCTGATTCACCGACTAAGTCTACTTCGAACACTGCTTCGGATTCGAAGAAGCGGAAGCTCGTCGATCCAGTTCAGAGCATCCCAACACCTACAGCCAGCCCGAAGATCAAGGCTGTCGAGGCTGCGAAGAAGGGCACCAAGGCGAAGCAAAGCAAGCTTTCCTTTGGTGGCCAGCAGGCTGCTACTCCCGCAAGCGACGCAGCACCTAAGAAAGTCAAGAAGCCGTCCGCGAAGAAGCCCCGGAAGGACAACAAGAAGGCCACGATGCCTCCCAAGAACAGCGTTACGCAGACCTTCAAGACGCAGAAGAACCGCGAACTCGCCGATATGCCACAAGAAACCTTAGCTGGCAAATTGGACAGCCAGCATTACCTGAAATATGCTGAAGACAAGCTTCAGTCTCAGCTCCCACCATTGCGACCAGCTCAGAAGCCTATACAGAGTTTCGTCTATAAGCGTGCCGACAACACCGACAACGAGGGACAGAAGGAGGATGTTTCATCACCTGTGCGACCTTTCGAAAAGATGTCGAGACCGTCACTTTCGGAGCGGCCAAAGTCCTCACCAAACTCCGGAGACAGCAGCGATGTACGCCCAATGACGCCTATGCATATCCGACGCAAGTCGGCCGACACGATATCCCCCGAGTCGATCCCTCGAGGCATGGAAGCCTTGATGGACTGAGGATAATCATGGAAGCGTTTGTCGATTACATGATCACTCGGCATCGACGCATTTTGTTATTTATATTCATAGAAGACGTCGACCTGGAGGCACCGAAGAGTTCGGGCCAGACAGGCGACAGTCCACGGAAATTTGTC